AAATTAAACACATCAACTTTTACCATTACCATCTTAGACTTAAATTACGTGTGATTAAGCTGTTCGCGTTATACCGCCAGTCAAAGAGCGTCTCCAATCATATTGTCATGCTACAATATATAACGTGCTTCTTTAGCTAGAGTAAGATTTAATGTTGACACAAGTGTTTTAATAGAAAATATACTGCTACATATTAATTCTTTAGTTTCAGAAGAGTGTACATAATATTATGTTAACCGTCTAGACTTAACGTAATCTAGGTAGTTCTCTAGTAGTTCTCTTTAAACCTCTCTCTGCATGTTTTAAGTCATCGATTTTTTTTTTCGTCCTTTATTATTAAAACAACTTCCACTTTTGTGTTGGATTTCAGGAAGAATTAATTATATATAAATTAATTAATTTATATAATTAATAAAATTCATTTATTTAGTTAGTAGAATTAAGTCGTCGTGGCCTAAAGGATAAGACGTCCGGTTTATTCGTGTTAAGCGATGTACCGGTGTTCGAATCCCGCAGGCGGGTACCCTTTTTTTTCTAATGAAATACGTACTTAACACAGTTCACGATTGACTTCCACGGTGAAGAAATAACATTGTGTAATAAAAATCAAACCCGCAAAATTATAATTTGCATAATTACTGCTGGTAGGACCTCTTGTGAGTCCGCACGGGTAGGTACCACCACCCTGCCTATTTCTGCCGTGAAGCAGTAATGCGTTTATACTGAGAACTTAGAACTCATATCTCAAGGTGGGTGGCGGTATTTACGTCGTAGATATCTATGGGCTCCAGTAACCACTTAACACCAGGTGGACTGTGAGTTCACCCACCCATCTAAGCAATAAATAAAATGTAAAAATTTATTTTTTATTTGGATTGGTCTATTCATCAAAATGTTATTTCGTTAGATATTTGTTTTCTGTTAGTCATTTTGATGCTGTAAGGCGTTTGAAACAACAATATTTTAAACCAACCACATCCAGAATTATTTTACTGTAGCTTGGAAATCCCATATACGTAAAGAAATAATTCTTCACACAAGAACTCATTAGTGCTTCATGGAAGAAATAGGTAGTACGGTGATACTGATGAGTGCTGTGGACCTATAGCACCCCCTATATAAATGATACTACTACTACTATAAATGATGTATAAGTTATCCAGATTTGAGGCTATAATAAGACGTTATCACTCTTGCATCGTGAAGTACATATTATATAACTTTGCAAAAAAAGGAACCCACCCTGGACCGTAGTATAAATAGCGTAGAGAGATTAGACCTTAAAATACGTAGATTGAACTGAAACGTGCCTATCGTTCTGGGTGGTCGTTAAAGTGACAGAAAAATATTTTAAAGGTTAGGAATTTATTTTAGAAGACAAATAAATTTGATAAAATGGACCAACAATAGAAAAACACCCGACATTTGGCAATTATTAAGAGCAATCTCGAAATGTTATAGTGTAATCGGATTAATTTTACCGTCACGTTGTTTCCGTCGACGAAATATGGATATTTTATTCGATCCCCAGACAGAGACAGCATTTCCTTGAAACGTTAATCCACTCCGCTCATGAATAAATTCGAGTAACTCTAAGATAATAAAGGTATCCTTTTTCAATGATTACGTACCAAAACGTTAGGAGATTATTTGATATAGAATTGATGCATAATTAATCCCAAAAGTAAATGACGCCATTAAATGATTGACTCGGTGGTGCAGTAGTTAGTGCCGGTCACTGTTGTGCCGAGGTTCGTGGGCTCGATTTCCAGATGAGGCAAACATTCGCATGATGGTTTGGTTAGTCAGGTTTGTTTGCTCTTTGTCTGCGTATTTATTATCGACATGTAATTTATATATTCAAACGTAATCGATAAGTATGTATGTATGTATAGCCTCTGGTTGCCACAGTACAGGAATCCAATTTTAGGGCCAAATGTCCGTGCATGGCTTGTACTCAGTTATATTAAATTGTTTTTAACACAAAACTCGCTTTAAAAATAAACGTGGAAAATTGTTCAATAACCCCCCTAATGGGGTGCTGTTTCATTCCGATAATTCGATCTACAGAAGTTAGAACAGTTTTTTAACTGTAACTAAAATAAACAGTAATATAAATCTGTAACTAAAAAAATTCCTAACTGAATTCCTGAAAGAAAATATAGGAAAAAATCGACTTCAACAAAATAAGCTGATGATATATCAGTCGAAATCGATTAAAAAATATGTTACATTATGGATAACTCGAAAACTACTCTTCACATGTTGATAAATGGGACCGCATCTGAAATTACAGTTTTCAATTTTTTTTAAACCGAGCAACAAATTCTGATGTAACCACATAAAAAAATACAGTAGAATTGGGAACCTCCACCTTTTTTGAAGTCGAACAATTGAATGATAACGGATTTGCGTTTTATTTTTGTATTATTCTCTAGAACTTGTTAGAAAATGTGTCGTTATTGAATTAGTCATTCTAATCATTTCTCTTGAAAGGACAGGCAATGACAGCTTCAAATGAGTAATTGCCACCCGTATAAGTAAGTATGTACCTGTGTGTAATACCCATGTACTTCTCGGAATACTGTAGAAAGCACTAAGGTTACGAATTGGTATGGCCACCAAATGTAGAACATTGAAACATTGAATACATATTTGCGGCCTATAGGCAAAACGAATAGGGTCCGTGGTTATACAGAAATTTGTATGTAGGCCATAGATACGTTATGTGTACGTTACTGTGACTGTGTTGTAATTTTGAGGTACTTAGTAAATTTTTAAAAATTAATTTCTAATGGATATCATAAATTGAAATAAATTGTCCACGATTAACTTCTATAGTGTGGAGTCTACTGTAATCTATTATGTTGGTGGCTATTATTAACGGGTATCGTGATATTTATGATATCGGAGGAGAAGGAGAGACATCACAAATTGAATGTATAAGAGTATAAGGTCTATTCCATAATTCAAACCGGAATGTAATGCTTCGCGCTAGAAATAGATAGAGTGGTGGTACACACCCGCGAGGTATCACAGTATTTCTTATCACCAGTAATTCCGCAAATTGTATTTGTTTTGGGATCTATTTTTATTATACGATGTTATTCTTTCAGTGGGGATGTCATTCGTGAATGTTTAGCTAAGTGATTAAAATGCTAAACGACTTTATTATTACTTACATAGCTTAGTATGCTGTAAAATAATCACTACTAATAAAGCAAATCATCCTGACAATTAATTAATTTTCATAGATTCATAGTAGCTGTCGTTATTGCCAGGAAAATCTTGTTTGCCTTATCGACATGAGGTCACGATTAAAAAGTGACTGTGTAGGTCAATAGCAGCTATTGCCTTTGGTGGCGCGTCACGTTCTGTATCATCCAATTACATTTAACTAAAGCGCAGTAAGGCAATTGTTTTGTATCATTATGCGCATGTATTCGTCTCGTAAACACACATTACGCGTGTAGCACTTGATTTATTCGTTTTTAACGAAACAAAAATTATGAGGCCAATCATAATTTGTTTGATAACAGTCATAGTATTTGATTTTTACTCTGGTATTTCAAAAGTTTTGATAGTCGCAGCCTTGATAGATAAATGTGATTGTGTCAATAATAATTATTCATCTACAGTCAAACATTATTTGTAAGTACGAGTATATTACAAATGTAATAACTGGCGTCTAGCTAAACAAAATGTGTGTGTCCATTAAATTGCTGACTTGTATATATAGTATTACAAGAGTAATTTTGTTGACGTCTTAGTTTTTATCGTGGGAAAGGAATTTGTGTTCATAATCACTTCAATTCTCACGTGTAATTTAGTACAATATATACATTATGCATTATGTCTAGACGTGTGTGTATATAAGCTTTACCTATGTATGTATTTCGGTGACTTTGAATACAGTACTTATTGTTCATTTTGATTCTGTTTCCATTTTCAATCGAGAGATACCCCTTTGATCTTTGATAGTTCACTCTCATCTCAATGAAACGATGTTTCTGAATGAAATTATCACATTCTTATGTGATTATTGTACTTGAATAGTATATTTACCTATTATAAAATTTGTAAATAAATCTATGATGATTTTTGGGCAGATGAGCTCACGGATTAGCCGGTGTTTAGTATTTAATGAAGTCGATAGAGAAACGTGTATTTCGGTACCTAGTTTCAGACGTTAAGGCGGAATCTCTACCTCGGAAATAACTATCTCGGTCTTTATCGCAACGCATAACTTCGCAGCAGATATGGCCGGGAAGGTTATGTGCTGCAAAGCAAATTGCGTGCTCAAACCACGCTCTATCAATAGCAAAAAAATATGGATACAAAAAAGGATTTAGTTACTCGGGACAAAAAGGTGACGGCTCCCACGAACTGATGATATTTTCCGGTTTCTGCACGTTCGGATCTCGTTTGTTTGACGGATTTTAACATATGGTTTTATACCTATAAAATTGGAAAAAAAAAACTTTTCCGAACCATTAATATATGATAGTTGTGGATTGTGATATACTCCTCCTTAATGGAAGTTTATAGAGACCTCAGCGGTTTGAGTATTGCATAAATATTATATACTTATACACATCAGATTTCAAAAAAAAAGTTTGTTCAGCTAAAAATCTAGAAACTACCTTTCGCTTTCCTTTGATTAAATAAATGTGTAGCAACGATCTAAAATTTATGAGTGGACATGTTTTGATTAGATGGTACGTATCTAACAAACAAAATATTTAAAGGGCTTGTCATTATCTTTGTTGTTTAGTTACTGACTAAAGTTCTTGTAATATGTCTGTGTACTGTTTTTGTCACATTTATACTTTACGTTTCAAAAAATCATTCGTAAAACAAACAATGTAAGTATTTCTCTATAACTGTAATGTTATTGTTTGTTCCTGGTGTTTTTCCCATTCAAAACAAACGCGAAGCATCATATTGTGTAGATTGAAAAAAAACCCAGTTAGAATATAGTTGTGTTTTGTTTGTTACAGGGAGGTTGCGAGCGCTTGGGAGTGCCGCGTGGGGCCTCCCGATCATCCAGCATCTGCCGATCGCATCCAGAGCCTATTCAACGACATCGAATTGTATCCCACTAAGACACAGGGTAATGTAACTTATTTTATATAGGCAATAGGCATACGGATCCGATGAAATAATACTATACAATACTTGGTCATTCATAATCACTTTCAAGAACAGTTTTCATGATTCTTTAATTTTGTCCCAAAAGTATTTTAAATTTGCAATGCTAGGCAAATTTACAAAATAATTGCCATTATAAAACTAAATAAATTTAAACTACATATAGTAATCGGCAAACTTCTTGAGCAAATGACCTTGACTGCGCAGAACCGAATTTTAGATCATTTTGGTGGTGAGGGTGAGGCGCGACGGCAGGGGAAATCGTATCGAGCGCGTTATTGGTAGATCAGTCGAACCTTGCGTCCCGCACCGCGCCCTCATTCCGCTTGCTCCCAAAAGTACGCTTGCGTACAGTGGAAAGTCTATCGTTATTAATCGTTAAGTTATTTGTTATAATTTCTTGTGGACTTTGTTGCCATTGCTATTTGTTGAGTGTTTGTTGATTTTTTATAAAACATACACTATGCCGTGACAAACTGGTGTAGTACTTAAAAGAAAGGGTAGAAAATTTGTGTACGACGTATATTGCTTCATTATAAAACAGGGGAAGAATGATATGGAAAAATTAAAACAGACTTCGGAAGCAACAAAAACATCAGTGAGTACTGTTAGGTGCATTATTAACGAAGCTAAAGGCTCTGGCTTGCTCGCCGTGTTTCGGACTCCGGGTAAGAAAAGATCAGGGAAGAAGAAAGTTACCGGAATGGATAGTTTCGTTCAATCTGTAATAAAAAGATGTAATCATAATAACTACATAACAAGCAGCGAAACTCCGTACCGTAGAAAGGCTTCGAAAAATTTAAAGAAGATATAAATTTTAATGGCTCGGAATGAAGCTTACGACGAATTATGAAAGAGCTAGGCTTCAGATGGAAAAAAAGAACAGAAAATAATCGGAAGCTGGTAAATGAAAAAAGTAACATTCGATTACTACGAATCGAATATCTTCAAAAAATAATTAATTATAGACAAAAAAGAAGACCGAATCGACCGAGTTGTAAACTACGCCGATGAGCCCTATGTCGACTCATCACGATGATAGCGACTCGGGTGATGAAAACAGTGATGATGATGATGGTCAAGATTATGATAACGAAAAAAAAATTACAAATACCAGCTTCGCTTCAACTGAACCAAGACCTGGCAACAGCTCTAGTTTTGACTTAATAGAAGGAATATCTATTTTACCCCAAGATTAAATTATTACAATTATTAACCTATATGTTTTGTTGATGTTCTAATAAATATATAAATAAATACATATGTTGATTTTAATAATTTTAATAGCATTATGACGCAGAGTAAGTAATGTTTTTGCACGTGAGTGTACCATGCGCAAACTTACCCCCACTACGTCAACAAATGCTCAAGAAGTTTGCCGGTTATTATACATGTAATTAGTATAGTGCAGATGTATGCTCGAAACGTGATATCAGAGTTTACATAATAATAAAATATGATTCTCAATGTGTTCTCTATACTATCTATAATATTATCAGCTGGGTAGGGACAAATAAGAAAACATATTCGCCGAATTTGTTAATGCTTTAACTTTAAATGCATTTTTTGCTTACATAACTTCAGTTTTTTTTATCGGAAAATGACGTAAACGCTTGATATCCCCGAATATTACCACGATCTTACTATCTATTTGCCCGAGGTAATTAACCTATTGATAATGAATTTTTGAAGCGAAGCGTTAACTAAACTAAACTAACGTGAAATGTTTGTAAATTATGTTTATTCATTTACATGAATGAGCTTCGGGAGTGATACGTGTTTTTTGTTCTTCGTAAGATGGCAATGTCCGAGTAGGATTACAATATGTTCCGTGGCGACGATGCCGGCTCATCGATTAAATTGAACGATAACGCGCTTACGTCATCGGTTTATAGGCTGAATCAACATAAAATGTCATTATGTTATTTAAAACTAGCGGACCCGGCGAACTTTGTTCCGCCACACGGTTTGTTTCAAACACATCAACCAGTCAACTTCAAAATTCTACTATAATTAATACAATTAACCACAGAATATATTACGTTTAGCTGTCAGTTGGGTTTTGTTATACGTTTTATGTCAAGTCCCACGGGAATGTGATAAAAAGTATCCTATGTCCTTCTCCTGGCTTTAAGCTACCTCCTCACCAATTTTCAGCCAAATCAGTTCAGTCGTTCTTGAGTTATAAATAGTGTAACTAACACGACTTTCTTTTATATATATAGATTATACATGGCATTCCACCATATTATATTGTTCCGCATGTTGCAACTGCTAAGAGCAATCCTCCGCTTAATGTATGGCCCTGCTGTTGTTGCATCGCTCTTATAATAATACCAATTATTGAATTCCTCCGAACTAACTTTTTTCCTAATCATTTTTGCCTTTCATTGAAAATCGTACTTCATTTATTTATTTAAATAAATACCTAAAGTTGATAGGAAATAGTAAATGATAAGAAAAAATCCCACTATTTGTCACTATAACTTAAATAATAATTACCATAAATAATGATATTTACGAACAACATAATAAATGCCAGTTATATTTAAGACAGTTAAATGTTAATTTTTTTTTGTACTATTTCTGTTCATCTTTACGTATTTTAATTAATTAATAAAGTGTAGGTAGTGCTCTAAAAATACCAAACAAAATTAAGTCAAAGTGACCGTTAAAATTTAGATAGAGGCTGCATGAAATGCTATGATTAATAAATAAATAAACAAAAACAAAATATTAAACAAAAGATAAAAAATTCTTTAAAAAATAATAATTTTCGACACACCAACAAATTGTTTAAAATGCTTGTTAGTTAAATAACAATACCTTATTCGTAGTTGGCGGCGATTATATCACAAAGCAACAAGTCTATTGTGCAATTAATAAATATCTGTCATACTGAAGAATTTACGGGCCGACGCTGTTAAGCTTCGCCCCGTGTTGTTGATTTATCAACAGTAAATCTCGGGACTACAATCAACATTATTAAACACGTAAACGTTTGAGGGTATATGAGTCGACTATTATCAAAGCCGGCAATGTGGCTTTTGGACAATTGTTGGTAAATCAGAAAAACGAATTATTGACTTTGTATTCCATTGGCAGTCACAAAACTCTTCTGAACGACATCTTAGATAAATAACAGGTTAAGTATTAACCTTTATTTAATGCAGGTTGTGAACCGTATTCTTTGAAGGAGACGATTATATTCAAATCAATCTGTATTGACATATCAATAACATTTTTTTGTCCAAATGCACAGATTGNTATTCCATTGGCAGTCACAAAACTCTTCTGAACGACATCTTAGATAAATAACAGGTTAAGTATTAACCTTTATTTAATGCAGGTTGTGAACCGTATTCTTTGAAGGAGACGATTATATTCAAATCAATCTGTATTGACATATCAATAACATTTTTTTGTCCAAATGCACAGATTGCCACCTTTGATAATAGACGACTCATATACACTGCTTCACGAAAACACCGTTTTGCTGAATCTTGGCTTGAATGAAGTGTATTCAGACGTCATTGGGAATCAATAATTTTTAAATTGAAATCAAAGAAGTAATTTAATTTTGTAAGAGCTGTTTGTCCATAAATACTATTTATTACCTAAGTAAAAGTGACCGCCCACATTGATTTTAGATATCTTATTTTTTATATAGTAATACGTGAAGCAAAAACTTTGTATCCTTTTTACGAAAATTGCGCGGACGGAGGAGTATGAAATTTTCCACACTTATAGAGAATATAGAGAAGAAGTGCACAAGGCTAATATTTTTTTAAAATAATGCATAAAAGATACATTAAATCAATAAAGAAAACATTACACACACTACCATGTATTTGAGACACACACGCATGCATACTATTTATTTATTGTCAAACTTTTGTTCTTGACGTCTGTGGTCAAATTGAGAATAGATTAAATATCGTTTATCTTTATTAATATTTTTCTATAGTGTAGTCTTGGCGGTGAAAATACAATCATGATAGTGTACAAACTTACAATTCCAATTAATTATAGTCGAATTTCGACTACTGCGAGACCTCTTCTAGTACCTTTAAACGAGCAATTCTTGTATATATATAATCTGAATCTCGGAAACGGCTCCAACGATTTTCATAAAATGTAGTATACAGGGGATATCGGGGGCGATAAATCGATCTAGCTACGATTTATTTTCAGAAAATGTTGTTTTATTCGTGTTTTCAATAATCTACTCTTCCCGACATCTATTGGCGAATAATAATACTATTTTTCTTAATTGAGGGCAACTATCCGCTTTAAAGACACAACAAGATGGCGTTATAAAAAAAAACTGAGCGAAGCTCGGTCATCATCTAGTAAGATTGTATCAAATGCAATGAAAGCTTCTCAAGGAAAAATCGGTAATAGTAGTTTCCGTTAATTAAACGAAATACTAGTAAACTTGAACCTTGACCATGTTTAAATTAAGACTAAGCATAAAATTATTATGTAACAAAATTATAGAGATGACATAATCGATTTTTTCCGACGACATCAAAAATTACGAATCGTGTATCGATGAAAATTATGTCTTATTTTAATTTTTTTTATTGCTTAAATGGGTCGACGAGCTCACAGCCCACCTGGTGTTAAGTGATTACTGGAGCCCATAGACATATACGACGTAAATATGCCACCAACCTGGAAACATAAGTTCTAAGTTCTCAAGTATAGTTACAACGGCTACCCCACCCTTCAAACCGAAACACATTACTGCTTCACGGCAGAAATAGGCGGGGTGGTGGTACCTACCCGTACGGACTCACAAGAGTTCCTACCACCAGTAAAAGTCTGTGACGGTGATTCTGGATAGTTTGAAGAATTGTACTGAACGAATTATATGGGTTAAATAAAGAGTTACACTATAAATGATCGTACGAAATTTTCGGCACTTATAATCTAATATGTACCATAAACCAAGTCAAGCTGCTTTTAAGGAAAAAGCTATTTCCATCAACTAAGTACTTTTTTCAATATTTGCTTATAATTATTGAAAGATACGAAATAAAAGTAATCCCGATCCTGTAAGTATACTCGCACGAAAGCCCATATATGTATATAAATGAAGAGGGTACTGAAAAAAAAAAAACAATGTGGAGTCTGGCAGTTCGTCGGACTTGGGGTTTCTTCGTCTTGTTACGAAAGGTACACCATCGGATATTGTATTATAATGATTCGTAATCATACTAAATAATATATTTATTTATATTATATTATCGTGTTAATTCAACAGTACCTTATGCTAGTTAGGGAAGTTTATCAGGCATGGCCTTGTTTGTTAAATTGTTGTGCCAGATTATCCGAAGGTTGAGCGACCCGGTAAATTAAATATAAGTCCTAACGTAATGTATTAGAATTATTTGAAAATTAAAATATAAACTAGTTTGTCACGCAATTTCGGTCGTGTGTATTATATTATTTATGCAACAAAAATGTAATCCTCTATAATTTCATTATGTAAAATTCTAAAGTACTTTTTAAAGACAAAGTCGAAAAAAAGGACGGATGATTTGATTTTACTTGTTCTTCTCAGAGCTGTGGCCCTTTTTTAATCATTGGTAGAGTTATCATTTTTTTCTAATTCATATTTGAGTTGAAATAAATGATTTGAATTGAATTGAAAACACGTCTTCTGAAAACAATGAATGTAAAAAAACTACCATAAAAATAGAACATTAACAACTTAACATAACTTAACTACATAACTGGTTTAGCAATTACAAAAAATGTTTTTAATAAATTATTCACAAAACGTAAATATGCAGAGAAAACTTAAAAAAACGGTCATCAAATAAAGTGTAAAGTAACCCAATCCGCTGTTTTACCATTTTCAATGTGTTTTAAATAACGACCGAAATTAAATTTGGCTATGAATTTAATACTATGAAATAAAATTAAATTTTCAAATTATTTTTGATTGGTTTTTTAGAAATCTCCAAATTTAAAGCCACTTTGACCACGTCACCAAGAAACTATGGCATGATTATAATTTTTTTAATGAAGAAAAAAATCATTCTCCTCTCTTTTTCAGTAAATCCTACCCTTTTTCAAACGGTTTTGTGCGCTTTTATTTCCAGGCACGAGAATAAATGGCCCGAAATTTCCGCGTGGATTGAATTTGATAGTTAATTGATGTCGAGTTTATAAAAAGCCCAAGTAGGGCATATGTGATAATGAATTCTAAGTACATGCAAATAATAAATAATTTGAATCCGCTAGGAAAATTCTAAGATTCTAAGATAAGAAGAAGACCGGGACGTTCTGTTTCTTTGTTTCGCTATATTAATCGTTGATGTCATTGTACAAAAATAATGCGCCCTTTGTCTAGATTAAATTTTAAACAACCAAAACTTTGTTATTTATGAACAGATTTGTAATTTTGCTATCGTGGATTGACTGTTTTTAGGGTTAGTTTTTATCAGACAAAAAAAGGACATGACCTAAATAACTTGAATGAAATAACTTAAATGGTGAATCATTCATTTTGAACTTCTTTTTTTATATTCTTTTTATTGCTTAGATGGATGGACGAGCCCACAGCCCAGCTGGTGTTAAGTGGTTACTGGAGCACATAAACATCTACAACGTAAATGCGCCACCCACCTTGAGATATAAGTTCTAGGATCTCAGTATAGTTACCACGGCTGCCCCACTCTTCAAGCCGAAACGTATTACTGCTTCACGGCAGAAATAGGCAGGGCGGTGGTACCTACCCGCGCGGACTCACAAGAGGTCCTACCATCAGTAATTACGCAAATTATAATTTTGCGGGTTTGATTATTATTACGCGATGTTATTCCTGCACCGTGGAAGTCAATCGTGAACATTTGTTGAGTACGTAATTCATAAGAAAAATTAGTACCCGCCTGGGATTCGAACACAGGTGCATCGCTCAACACCAATGCACCGGACGTCTTATCTCTTAGGCCACGACTGCTTCAAATTTACTTAACACTTATCGTTATATTTTGGGTAATTCACACTATATTTTTATATATTATAGTCTATGTGTTATTCTGACGTGTAAGCTTATTGTCATATTTATTAATATCGAATCCCAGTCTAAAAATAAGTTTCAAGTTTTTAGCTCTAAAAATGACAATATTTCCATACAATTTTTCATCGTCCCCTTTTAACCTTTTACAACCCTTTTTTCGTATTAAAAAGTAGCCTATGTCCTTTCTCAGGCTCTAGAATATCGCTGTACCAAATTTTATTTAAATCGATTCAGTAGTTTTGGCGTGAAAGCGAGACAGACAGACAGAGTTACTTTCGCATTTATAACATTAGTATTTGCAATTATTATTGTTATCTATGTACAAAACTGTAAGCTGTAAAATTTATAAACACTGAAATCTACTTCATCGTATAAATGCATCAATAATTTTATTTTCCTAAGGCTTGTTGTCATGTTTCAACATATCCATGAACAAAATACCCGCTAGTTATTGTACATAGGTACAATAGTTTCATACAAGAGTGATGCATGTCTAAAAATATTTAATAGTAAAATTATTACTTGTCGTGTATTTAGTTCTTTATTATCTTTATGGCATGATCACGATATCAATAGTTATGATTTTTATTTCTCACATTAAATAAACGTGTTCAATTACATGTATACAAAGCTTTTAGGTTGTTTGTATGAGGCCGAACGTGTGATCTCACCGCTATTGCTCACTGATGACCAATTACCTCCCAATGAGTTCATGACTCTTGTTTATTGCCCCACTGTTCGCAACTTATAAATCCATACGCGGACTTCCGGATCGACACTTAATTACAACTTAATACGATTTTGCGCAACATATCCTGAACCATTTTTAATAAATAAATAAATAAACTTTACATATTTCCCGTAATCTGGTAATAAAAATCATTATTATCGTTATTACAACTTTCACGCATATTTTAACAGTTTTAACGCGGCTTCGAAGGTTTATTTTTCTTTTCATGCACTATACTGATTGTTCACTGTATAGTTTTTCTAGAGGAGACTATTGATTTCAGTTAGATTTCCGTGCCACTGCATTATAATAATAATGACAAGGCAAATACTGTTCTGAATATTATAAGAATTTCATATACATAGTTTATGTACGACAATTATTATTTAATAGAAACGTTGACCGTACAAGTTGCCTTGCCGGGAATGCGGTTGTCTTTATTAACGACATTACTTACGTTACGTTGTTGTTGTAGTATTCGAGATGCTGGTATGCGCACGACAGTGTGCGCGCCGCAAATCGCTCACTCTCACATTCGGAGAATTCTGCGTGTTTGCAGCTGAGCTACGCCGGTGCTCAAGGCAAGCGAGGCAGTGAGTATCAACACAAAAACATTTCCATTTCCATTTCCACCTCACTTCTACTGTTCTATTCTCTAGCAGCATCATTTTGTTCAATAGTACTTTTTTTTTATTGCTTAGATGGGTAGACGAGCTCGCAGCCCACCTGGTGTTAAGTGGTTACTGGAACCCATGGACATCTACAACGTAAATGCGCCACCCACATTGAGATATAAGTTCTGCCGTCTCAAATATATTTACAACGGCTAACATGGGTACATCGTGTCGTCAACATAAGTCGTCGTGGCCTAAAGGATAAGACGTCCGGTGCATTCGTATGAAGCGATGCACCGGTGTTCGAATCCCGCAGGCGGGTACCAATTTTTCCAATGAAATACGTACTCAACAAATGTTCACGATTGACTTCCACGGTGAAGGTCCATCGTGTAATAAAAACCAAACCCGCAAAATTATAATTTGCGTAATCACTGGTGGTAGGACCTCTTGGGAGTCCGCACGGGTAGGTACCACCACCCCGCCTATTTCCGCCGTGAAGCAGTAATGCGTTTCGGTTCGAAGGGTGGGGTAGCCGCTGTAACTATACTGAGAGACCTTAGAACTTATATCTCGAGGTTGGTGGCGCATTTACGTTCTAGATGTCTATGGGCTCCAGTAACCACTTAACATCAGGTGGGCTGTGAGCTCGTCCATCCATCTAAGCAATAAAAATAAAAAAACATGGACAGTAAGCAAAATTCAAAAATATCACACAACGATTTAGGTCAGTTCTTATATATACATATAAAACGTGAATTAGTCATTATTGTACTTCATGTGTAGTTAGTAAATTTCATTATGTACCTTCGGTTCAAATTAAATATGAATCATGTTTTTTTTTACCGGTGACGTTAAATATGATCAATTGTCGTTTACTCGGTCTTGAACCTAAGACTGTTGTGAGCTTCGAGTGGTGAGGCGATCATTGACCTTTGAACGTCAGACAATAAGAGACATTTTGTCATGCACTGAATAACTGTACGTGGCTGTTTTGTAACAATAGAGCTTGAAATAATTATTGATGTGTCCAAACGTTTCGTTGGCAGGGTGTCCAGCAAGCCGGAATCACCTCAATGGAACATTGAAAAGGAACTCGTCGAGCTGAGGGATAAAGATGCGATATGTAAACACGTGAACGGTAAGAGATGTTTCATTCCTTGCTTGCGATGTCGACTTTTCTTTCCGTGTTGCCAATAGTTAGTGTTGTTACGGCCCACCTAAATCCGTAATATATAGCTATTAAATTCATAGATTTGCGGCAGCTAATTGATCCTGCTTATAGCTTTATTCGTCAACTTTATATTGTGGAAGGTCGATTCGAGTCGGGATGAAACAAATGGTGACTAAACGTTCCGCACGGTACTAATCCAGAAATACTCTGTAGTCCCAGTGTCTGTCAAACTGTGGACGTGTTTCAGTATTAATTCTTTATGAGTTTCCTGACTCTTAAACTTCCGCCCGTATCCAACGAATCACTGTTTCGTTCTTATAGTAAACACGATGATTGTTCAATTTTGATCTTTATAGCTCTGCAACCGAAATAAGTTATTTATTACGTCATGTTTCATTAATTAGGGGCCTCGATTAATTCTATCATCCCACGCACGATTGTAGTGGTCAGATAGTGAAAAAGTCTTAGTTTTCCTTATTTGACCAGCTGACAATTACGGTGCTGACGACTGTGAGATATTTCTAAATTTAACGAATAAAAAAAAGAGTGCTGAATTATTAAATTAAAACAATAAACAATCGTGTACATATATACACTTGATTATTGTAATTGTAAAAATATCACCAATCCAAAGTGAAAACATTAACATTATAGATATTCAGTACTTCATTTACTATATTGTTATCGTTACACCTAATGCTTAGATTACCCACCACAAAAGAGGTCAGCTTCACTCATGAACAGCCTCGAGATCAGCGCCAATAAAGCCTCTGTCAAATCACTTGGAGCTTGGAGCTGAGATCTTAGAACTTATATCTCAAGGTGTGTGGCGCATTTACGTTGTAGATGTTTATGGGCTCCAGTAACCACTTAACACGAGGTGGGCTGTGAGCTCGTCCACACATCTAAGCAATAAAAAAAAAACAATCTTGGAGCTTTTTAAGTATGTTCATTCAAGAGCCTGCTGGTACGTGGCGGAAATATTCTTTGAAATACCCTGCAAATTAATGTAGTGCTTTCAAGTAGGCAGAACACCAGCCAGATGGTCAGCTCTAGTAAGAGAAGCACTTGGGGGTAATCTGTACCATGCGGTCCGTGCCACCTATGATCGAACACAGTGGAAGAATGTCACATGTGGTCGCGATCTTCAGCAGTGAGGGAACGATATAGAAAATTTTCAAGTAGTATTATGAATTAACGCTGGTTTGACGGCGAGAGGTGTTATGATAAAAAGGATAGAATCACCTTAAATGGTTCCTCAGAGCGTAAAAGCTTTGTCAAGAATGTATCTCGGATCCGAAGATGGAGGTTTTATGACCGCGCCGAGCGTTAAACCGCTCGCGGTTTTTATTGTCATCATATTATTTTCGACTTTCATCCTCCGTGACCACAAAAACTATAAAGCATTCAAAGCGTCTGAAAGAATAGAATGATATTAAAAAAGCGGGATCGAACCGTGAAAGTAGTTTCGAGAGGACACAGTTTCAAAACAAAGTACCCACCACTATGCTTTTATCCTTTAGTCTTAGGTACGGAATTACGTAAAATTTCATTGTGTGCTTATTAAGTTTGACAACACGTTTGCAATTATTGAAATCTGACTTAAGAACGTTATTTGAATTAAGAACGGCCTGGGCAATGATTTGTGTATAAAATACTCTCAGAGCAATCGATCTGTTAACGACGTGCCCATTTCTATGCGAAGTTAGGTTCCAGTTTGAAGGATAGATCAGTCGCTGTACAATACAATTCGATTACAGTCGTACAATGCAATTTGGTTTCGACTTCATGTATCATCGTGACTGTCGGCATTCTCTACACTGAATTGTCTAGGTATGGGCTCCCATAGAAACTAGGCAAGACAGGTAGAACATAATCTATACTGGTAGTGAGTGCTCTATAGTAGTTTGGGTTGCACTTTCGCATTGCCTATTACAAAATTACGGCCATTCATCAGAAGCGTAAATATCAACTTTATATTTTCAAAATGACAATTAGATGACGATTTCGGTTAAATTATATTAAGTATTTTAGAAATACGTACCAAAACATTATCACGTTAAACATCAAAGTATCGATTGTGAGTTTATCACATGAAAGCTTATCTTCTTTACAAACGTGGATAATGCAACATGGATTATATGTTATATTCTCTGTAACAAAAGGTATATAATCATCATGTAATGATACGTTCGTCTAATAATTTTATAATGTACGATGTTAGTTTGTATTTTGCACTTGCAACCGTGATGCGTTCAATTTGCGTCAATCTCCTATCGCATCACGTACTATGACTAACGCCAGGTCACATTATGTTGATGTTATACGATTAAAATCTCAATCTATATTTACTTTTAATAATACAAGCTTCTATCGTCTGACTGGGAGATCTATAATCCGTGGATTGCTGAATAATATAATATTCCAAAATAACTAACTGGTTATATAATACGAATCGGTTTAAGCGTACAACACGCAAGATCAAACGTCGAGAGTTTCTATAAAGCTACTAAATCGTTTATGTGAGAAAATGATCAATAGCGTCCGTGGGTTTCAGAATGCATCACGTGCGAGACAACGTGAGGATAGTGACGCCTCAAAGTCACGGTGTACCTTGAATGCGATCCTAAATAAGTTTAGGCAAAACAGGACTGAAAAATGACTTTCGTTTCTCGTTAATTTACTGAATTCGTGGAAGTGCGAGATCGTGACTAAGTAAATATTGTATGCGGCCTTCCAGGCTCTTCCGCTCGTACTATAAACAGACTAAGGAAACGTCACTTTGTCTGCCTGTTGTCCCTCGAACGAATAACGAGGTGTCCACGATTTTTGTTCGGATAACGCAAATACACACCACGTGATACTAACGTACGACATATTATAAAGTAAACAAACGACGAAGAAGCGCATTTACTTCCTTATCTCCCGGAAGACCGTTCTGTGAGACGGCTAATACAATTCTATAATGGCGTTTTTGTAATCTAGTTGACATTTATTAGATGTAGTTTGAATTGACAGTTTGAGAACAATTTTTTTTTTTTTGTAAATATTTCATAACAGTATCTGAATTTATGTTAATAGATTAAGTACTAAGGTCATTGTTTTGTTAAATTATGTTAAACGATCGTTAAGTCTGTTCATCGTTAATTTTTAACAGCAAACTTTGTACATTCAGTCTGCTTTATTTTGTATTGACACAATCTGATTGATCTGCTACCTTAATACATACCTTGATTATGATCATCTTCATTGGTCAGATTGTCTCTTCATCTTGTAAGTCAAGAAACTTGAAAGTAATGCAAAGAGGAGCAGTCTTTGAAGTGTCACTAATTCCCGCAACCATGTGTTCGTAGTGCCATAGACATGACGGATTATACATAATATTTTAAAATGTGGCATCGGCTAGTACTTCCTTGGACGAGTAATTGTGTGGCGCGAACGCCAGTCAGTTGGCCGTCGTCCGTCCGCGGGTGGACATCGTGCTTCGCAGCCACGCACGGCTGCACGATACATCTGCAGACATGCCGCCGACCACAATGATAGTTCCCTGTGCGTTTAAAAATTATTCCCGCTAATCTATAAACGAATACTATTTACCCTACATTTACGCGGTGAAAATCGATTTTACGTTCCGAATTACAAAAAACGTTTGTGTCCGTGTCGAATAATAATACATTGTATCGAGTGATGTGTATTTGTGTTAACTGGATTTAGGAAAAATAGTACGGCAAGTTCTCGTTTTAGGTTTGAGAGATTACGATTGTGGTACTTTAAAAATCGCCGCGTGTGGATAGTCACGGCGATGTACATTGCGTTTGTTGATCTGTCCGCCGCCTTGTTGTTTACGTTTTCGTTTTGGCATTGAACGAGGTTCCCGAATTGGATTGATGTGCTGGCCGGCCACGACTTATAAACTGCACTGTAAACATGAATGAATTCAATTTAATTCTAACAACGATTGTCTGTTTTAATAGCCCGCCAATACCTTTATTATAACCGTAGGCAGTACCAAAGGTAGCAGTAAAATAACTTCGCACGAGACGATCAGTTTGGTTATTATTAAAAATCTTGAGTAGTTAAATGACCGAATTCATTACCATTTATGGGAATCATTAATCTACAAGTGGGTGTGTTGAGCATAGTACGTGCGGCCTACATGTCGCAACCTACGCGGTCGATAGTCATCAATCATTGACGAGGAGCACAGCTTTGAACGAACGAAATCTGTTGTTAGCAGGCACTACGGTTTCTCGTACAAGTTGTCATAATTAATTATCTTTATGTCCAATAAGCCTATTCATCGTTCTAATTTATCTATACGATCGTTTGATCAGATTTCGATAAAGCACTTACGTGAATGTCTATTGTGTTTTTATTTTTATTTATATTCTTCGACTATCCGGATATTTTTGATTGAGCCAATCCAATTTTAACGCGCTCCAAACTTGTTATTTGTATTCGCTAATGAAACGTAAATATATTTTAGTGTTTTTTTTCTTCTATAATTTTAGAAAGAATCGCGCGAACTTTTCCTGCTTTTCTCGGTTGCGTGTTAATTGACATTCCAACAGCGACTATTTTTTTTCGCACAACCGTAAAATGTAGGTACTTGAATTAAATTTGAAAATTCAAACGTATCCAACATCTCAATGATGAGTACTCACGTTACTCGAGCCGCAGTGTAAGTGCCTCCCACGCCGATATCTTGAAATTAGTTGCGTGCTAAATCGTACCGCAATTGTTTTCAATTAAACGTGTTTCTTTTGCGTGCCTTAGCCCATCATTGAATAGGACAGTCGATCCTTAATGTCAACAATTCGATTCATTGCAATTAATCAACCTTGTCACAATATTTATAATGATTCTTAAATTCATAATTCATCTTCGCCTTGTTGACTACACCTCATTTGTCGATTACAATTTAAATACCTACATTTTGCATAATATCAGTGGAAAATAGTTAACTTTGAAAGGTCAAATATATTGAATTCAGGTTGAAAAGTCTGTATGTTACGACCATTAACAGTTTCAGTATATTTCAGTACGGTCATATAACTTTGCTTAGATTTTGGGACTGGTGGTGCCTATTTTGATGAATATGTATATACGTAACGTGGTTATTGAATTATGAAACTTCAACATTTCCTACAATAAAACATAAAATGTAAACGTTATTGTTTATGGTAAGGTGTTTTTATTCTGTAGTTGGGCCCACGATTTGGCCGCCCACCTGTTGTTATATGATTACCGAAGTCCATAGCTATGCTAAAGTAACTGTAGCTTAAGCTGAGATATGAGATCGAAGTTTTGCTTGTATTGTAGGACGGTTGTGGGTGGGACAGCGGTTCAGATCGATCGCGCGATGGCTTCGCGACACAACTAGAGACGTTCTTACTTGCTATACACGATTCTACCAGAAATTCGACAAATTAGAAAATTAACGGATTCCATTTTTAAAAAAATCGGGATTATTTTTCATTAACAGTTCGCACGACTTTTCATTTGATCATGCGTTTGAATGATGGGATGGTCGTTTACTCGTGTGCTACGGTAACCAGCTACGTAGTCGGCAGTTGTTCGTCGGTCAAAAAGCAAAGACCACGGTCCATGTTTAAAAGTCGGTGATGATATTCAAATTGTCCTGTTGATGGACGTCAATAATCTCTAAACGAGACAAATTATCTGCCTCTGAAGTCGTCGTGGCCCAGAGGATAAGACGTCCGGAGTATTCGTATCTACGATGCACCGGTGTTCGAATCCCGCAGGCGGGTACCAATTTTTCTAATGAAATATGTACTTAACAAATGTTCATGATTGACTTCCACGGTGAAGGAATAACATCGTGTATTAAAAATGAAACCCGCAAAATTATAATTTGCATAATTACTGGTGGTAGGACCTCTTGTGAGTCCGCACGGGTAGGTACCACCGCCCTGCCTATTATTGCGGTGAAGCAGTAATGCGTTTCGGTTTGAAGGGTGGGGCAGCCGTTGTAACTATACTGCAACCTTAGAACTTATATCTCAAGGTGGGTGGCGCATTTACGTTGTAAATGTCTTTGGGCTCCAGTAACCACTTAACACCAGGTGGGCTGTGAGATCGTCCACCCATCTAAGCAAAAAAAAACCTACCCAAACAAATGTGACTAAAATTTTTATTTCAAACTGATCACGTCTGAATTAGATGTTGTAGTGTAATATTAAACTTATATTCTAAAATTATTTCATATAAAGACCTCGAACTTGACTTAACACGAGTTTAAGATTTTCAATTCCGCTAAGCTATCCGCTGTCTACCCTTGAACCGTTTGTTGACGATAATGATGCGCAGGTAGCGAGCCGTCGCCTCCGCCATGCGAAGTATTCCTCGGCGGTTCCTGCAACCCGACTACTTGGAGATCGGACATTGCTATTCCGATGCTAAAGAAGATGGGAATAACGTATTTCAATCCGGTGAGTTTTGTGCATTACGATTGTTACATTACAGGTATTTTTCTTCCCACCTATCCTAGCAACTTCGAGGGGTTAAACTAGATCATCGAGCGTGTAGGTGAGCTCACGAGACTCAGCGTGACAAATTTACTAACACTGGTCCAAGCAAGAGCAGTGCTTCGTAGAAACTACTTCGGAAACGCGACCCACTGAGAAGATCCGGCGAGAAACTCAGTGGGCTACGCACGCAAAAAAAAAGTTTACAAAGCCATCTGTTATCTATGGGTGAAACTACGGATAGGCCGGTTTTGCATCAAAATTTATTATATTTTAAATAAATTGCAATATAAATATAGGTAAGCATGATTATGAAAAATTGTGGATTAAGCCATTTTTACGATGACGGCCTCATATATTCATTCATTTAAAATATTAATCAACGGCGTAAACACCGTTAACAGTGAACAAGCATTTTATGTATAGGTCAACTTAAATACAGAAAATTGAGATTGTAAAAATTATTTTTTCATCGTACTACTGACGAAACACAATAACTTTTAAAAGTTCACCGAGATAAACAACTGAGTATAATAACAAAAATCAAAGACGAAACGAATTATTTATATAGATATATTTAAGTGATTGCTTAAATTGCAAACGTACACACAGAAGTGATGTCACAACTAAGTTCTTGACATCTCCGTTGTGAAGTTCTTTTTTTTTTTTTTTTTTTTATTGCCCTTGCAGGCAGACGAGCATACGGCCCACCTGATGGTGAGTGGTTACCGTCGCCCATGGACTTCAGCAATGCCAGGGGCAGAGCCAAGCCGCTGCCTACCGCCTACCGCGTCATAAAAAAACGTTTATATTTTCGACTGTATCTATCTGCCTGTTGATCTTCGTCGATGCTTTAGAAAGTAAATGAATGATTTTGCGAAACACGCACTTTATCACAGATATTTTCTAGTATCTACAATTAAACGAAATTCGATAACAAGCACGAGGCCAAAGATAATTAATAAATGCTACCGACATTAATTCAATTAATCTCCGTGAACATTATAACGTGACGTCACTAATAAGGAAGTACTTTTCGTGTGATGATTCCGGTTTCTTGTGATTCGTTTACGTGACGAATTCCAATTCACGATAACCAATCGCCATCACATTGAATCATTGACAATGACTTGAAAAATCTAACGTGCTTTTTTTTTTATTGCTTAGATGGGTGGACGAGCTCACAGCCCAGCTGGTGTTAAGTGGTTACTGGAGCCCATAGACATCTACAACGTAAATGCGCCACCCACCTTGAGATATAAGTTCTAAGGGTCTCAGTATAGTTACTACGGCTGCCCCACCCTTCATACCGAAACGCATTACTGCTTCACGGCAAAAATAGGCAGGGTGGTGGTACCTACCCGCGCGGACTTCTATTAGTTTTAATCGGATTTAGTTCAAATGTATCGGAGATATATCAAAAATATTCTCAAAAAACTCGAATAGTTTATCTAAAAGGTTGATAAAAATCTTTCGTCAAAAATGCGTGTTCGCATAGAAAAAGTTCCGATTCGTACGTGTGCTCAATATGATGTTATAATATTAAGAGAAAAACATTATATCATTTTTGATCCTTATCAGAGTAGATACAAACACGTCCTAATATAAATTGCACGTTCACGAATTAAATCATACAAATAACGGCTGCTATCGGAAAACGACTAATTTGTATGAAAAATAGCATGCGTTGACTTTCTTTTGTATTACGTTTAGCATACACTGTACATAACTTAAATGTATTCAAGTGTCCGCTTGAAATTCACAATCAATGGGATCTACTAATGGGAGCTCACTTTAAATCAGGGCCGGATTTAGGGGAGGGCCCTCACAATAGGTCTTGGAAAAAAAAAACTTTCGAATTCCGACAAGTAAACACTAGTAAACATCTTTTCCTTCTCCTCCGATATCCTTTTTTTCGCTGTTTTACGTAATATTAACGTTAACACTAAAGTTTAATTTCAGATAATTCTTGTCTCCGATTATATTTATGTGTTTGTTAAATACTAAGAGAATCTACGTGGTTCCACAACAAATTATTTATTGGAAAACTCGACTGAAAAAGATTGTTCATTTTATTTGGAAAATAATTTGGGGCTAAGGGGCCTCTGTTCCTCTATTGCCCTGAGGCCTCCAGACCTCTAAATTTGCTTTAAATTGGATTGTAATGATTGAAAAAACCTAGCGTTAGTATAAATTACATATATTGCCTCTGTTGTCGCTGTAGGTTTTTATGAACAGATTAGATGTTACATATCTTGTTCTAATCTGTGCGGGCTTCGTGTGCATTATCATTGGATATAATGGAGGCTGAATTGTTCTACAGCAAGTGGAAGATTGGTCCACGGAGCTGATAGAGGTCGAGCATCGCGCTAAAGCGGCGGCTCGAGCGCTTCTCTTCGTTTTGGACAGCGAGACGAGAGCTGTCGCCGCCAGCGTCGAGGCCGCACACCTCGCTGCTGCACCGCGCGACTTGCTGCTCGTACTGCGCCCGTATACCCGCCGACAGAACATCGGCAACGAGACGATTTCTGATCAGTGAGTTTGAAGAATTTACTTGTATAACTTTAAAATTTCTATTTGAATTCGTTTTTTTTCCTACCTAATCTAATAGCCTTGAGAGGCTATGCCAGCGGAACCTTAACTAGTAGGTGAGCTCACGGGGCTCAAACCTGACGACGTTGCTAACACGAACCCTAGCAAGAGCCGTGCTTCGCAGAATCTACCACTGGAAACGCGACCCACTGAGAACATCCGGCGAGAAACTCAGTGGGCTGTGTCTGAGGGTTAATTTACTCGTCGAGCCCTTCGTCGCAAGCGACGGCTTCGACGAGAACGATGACCGGTGCTTGAGGTACCTAAAAGCACTGTTAGTGGATCGGGAGGATCCGCAATGAAGTGTTTGGGGCGACGTCGACTGTTTTCCATTCTTTCCGCAGGATCGGGAATGTAGTTACCGGCGGCCACGGTGAGAGGGTTCTCGTGTCGTGCCGCTTTATCGAAGTGGCGTTGAATTCGAAAGAACTGTTACTATTGCAGCGAGTACGTGGAGCTGTCGCGAGCGAGAGCCACGCTGCAAGAAGCGGTGGAACGTCGCGGTCTGCCCGCTTTCACCGACATCCCGGCCGCGTTGAAGTGCGCGGGTACCGTGCTGCGCGGAGCTAGGACGCACCCGCGACAGTCGCTCGGTCACACGATCCTCCGATTGAAACGCGCCTACGATGCAGCCGGTGGGCGAAACGGTCGGTTACCTCGCACCAGGGCGGTCGACGCCCTCAAGGAAGTGACGAGAACGTCGAAAGAGAACGCGGAACGGAGCCTGCCCGCCGCGGACTTTGTCGACTTTGAAACGTTTTGCGCGGCCGTCGCCGAACTCGCAACCGACGCAGGTGAGACACTCAAGAACATCATTAACAAAATTACAGTACAGTAAATTGGGGGGAATAGAGACTAGAGTTAGAATAGGGAATAAATCTGGGATGTCACAATACTTTTGCTGAGTAATTATATTTGACTTTATTGAACTGAAAATGACTTTAAGTGTTTAAGAATATTAAATAGTTTAATTTTTGTCATCAAAGTTTTGTAACTCATTAAAGATATTAAAAAGTTAATTACCTAAAGTTAGGTTACTTACCTAACAACTAAATAGTGCCAGCCTTATCGAAAAATTCAATTGTCCCCATACGTAACCTGATTCACCCCAAAGCCAAGGTGAATCGGGTCAAGCTAGTTTTTGTGAATATTTTGTAATGAACTAATAAACCCATCGTATATACAAATTTAAATCTCCGGAACCATTTTAATCTCAATTTTATTGGAAAATTTGTGTTGGATTTGGAAAGTGTCCCGATTCCCCCCATTTTACGGTATATAAACTGTTGTATGTAGTCCCGAATCGTGAATATGTATTGAGTAAGTCGAGACGGTGTCTGTTGAAGGTGTGTCATCTCCGAGCGCGGAGATGGCGGGCGCGGGCGTGGGGGCGCGGGTGCGGCGCGCGTTCCGTTCCCTCCGCGAGTTGTTCGCCCCCTCCCCAGCCGGTGCGTGCGACCCTGCACTGCACGTTCGACACCCCATTGTTTTCGATTTCGATTTCGCTTGCTCTGATTTTAATATTATGCTTCTCTCGTTGGACATCATGAGACGCGCATGTCACATTCGCAGAGTCGTCATCGAACGTAATCATTATTTTGTCATGAGGTCGTCTGATTATGAGAGGCGTTTCCGTGAATGTTGCGTTTTTTTTTTTGTTGCGTTTATTTTATCATCACTACGACTAACGGTGTGTCGTTTGTTCGCTGTAAATATTCGTAAAACGAAACGTATAAAAAATACTTCAGATCTGTAAGATGAATAAAGCAATGGTTTATCGTTTATAATGACAGAATGGCAAAATCGGAACGGCACGGAGAGTTCTGAAGGTGGTGCAGAAACGAGGGGTGACCGTGGTGAAGCGCCCCGGGACAACACCGTGCGCCACGTGTACAACGCCAGACTAAGAGCGTACGGAAGGAAGCTTGGACTTTTCATTCCTAAGGTACGATGTTGTCTTGATTTAATTTATTTTCTTTTGAAGGGCTGTCAAAAATCCACGACCCACGTCTTCACCCACTGTCTCGATCCACGTGGCTTAGATCATAGATATCGCAATTTCTCACCCGGATATATAGCCTCAAAGACTAAAATATGCACAACAGCTGTCTCCCCTTTTGAACCGCAATGCATAATCCCTATACGGTATAAATTAAACCTCACAATATACCCTAACAACAGTAAATACGGTATGATATGATCTACGGAACGCCATTGCTAGTTCTTTACTTTACGTAGAAGACATTTAGAGTGGATCCCTAATACGCAAGTAGGCACGACGGTGCTGGTCCAAATCCGTGGCCTGTAATTATGAATGGAGCTGAAATAAAAATAAGAAGTCAGTAAGAGCATTTGCGGTTTTGTTAAATGAAATCTACATTGAAAATTAATGGTAGAAGGTATTTTATGATCGCTCTAGTCTAAGTCTTAAGGAGTCCTCGTCCTGGCTATTTCTGCCGTAAAGTTGTCATGTGAAGTGTGGGACAGCCGTTATACATAATATTCAGACATTAATTTACTACCTACACACTAGACCTAGCTAACGTTACCTCAGCAGTGAGTTAGTTCTGTGATGCAAAAAAATAATTTTTACCGTCAGTTTTGTTTAAAGATGATAGAAGAATAGACCTAAAATGTATTTTTTAAAGGTTCACACACCCTCATTAACGTCCTACTAATATTATAAATGTAAAAGCTAGTTAGTACGTATGAATGTTTGTGGTTCTATCCCGCAAAAGATACTGAAGCGATTTTGGTGAAAATTTAAAATGTAAATAATTTATAGATCGGAATGACACATAAGTTATAATATAGTACGATCAAAGTTCAGAAGGTGGCGCGCGAGAAATTTCAAGGAATCAATGTTCCACATACAATTAGCTACAGTCAGAGCGAGATTGAGTTTCACTAGTTTATTATATCGAGGCGTAAAAAGCTACTTGGTTTAAGCGGCATTTATCTGTGTAATTAAAGTTCCGTTTTTTTTTGTATTAGTATTTATTGATATGTTATTACATCAAAAACAAATTAATATCAACAATATGATGTTTTTAATTGAACTTCAATTATGTTTACCCCATTTCCCAAATAGCTGAATATCGCTTAAACCAAATGACTTTTCACCCCTCGATATGTATTAGTTTTGGGCGGGTTTCAGTTTGAAAACAGCTTTACTTACGGTTTTCTATTCAGGTTGGGCCAGGAAAACGGTTGACGACTTTACAAAAACTTGTTTTTATTACGTCTTTCTTAATCTATGTAACTGAAATATAAACGTCTAACGTCTCCAGAGTTACATCGCGTCTGTCTGCCCTCGCGACCGGTAACTAACCTCCTCACACTTAAAAAATAAAACTATGTGCTCCACATTCATTCGCCGTCTTTCTTACTTCCTAACACGACATCTCCTATCTCTCTTACTCAGTCATGCTTCATATTTATCTGTCATTCATCCATACCGCTCCGCTCGGTTTCTTCATTATTATACCCGATCCTGTGGACCGAATGGTAAACAGTCGACGTCGCCCTAAACACGTCATTACGGATCCTCCCGATCCATTAGCGGCGCTTTTAGGTACCACAAGCACCGGCTACCGCCCTCGTCGAACCCGTCGCTTGCGACAAAGGACTCGACGAGTAAATTAACCCATAGACACAGCCCAATGAGCCTCTCAAGGCTATCAGCATAGGTAGGGAATAAGCACCCCACGCTTTTTTTACAATAAAATATATTTTACACTATTTTCAATTTAAATTTATTTTCTATTTTTTAGTTGAATTTTATATAAAGCGTGTTTTTTAGTTTTTTTTAAACTATTAATTATTTTTAATTTTTTAGTTAAATTTTCTATAAAAACGTATTTTTAAAACTATTAAGTACTTTAACATCAATTCCTGCCTTATCGACTATAGATAAAAATTATATAAATTGTCAAAAATCTTATTTTGCAAATTGAATAATGGAATAATCTTATCAAATAAGTGTATTGTCATCGGTCCTCGATAAATCTACAAAGTTTGAATGAAATCTGTTTAAAATGGGTCAAAATCGCGTCTAAAGGAGTTAGTTACAAACATACATAAAAGTGAAGCTAATACATATAAAGCGTGTAAAAGAAAAAATCGGTTGTCTGTAAAGTCGGTTTACTACCATAGTTGAACGTGACAACGTCATAAGAAAATACTGATGGAATGGTTCCATTTTTCAAACGAAAATTTTAATTTTTTTTTTGATAGATATTGTCGTTCGTTGCGCGCTCTCGCTTGCACTTCAAGCCTTAAATGGAACGCCTCAGAGCGAGGTAACGCCGCATGAGTCGTGTTTTTTCATGCGTGCAGCCGGCTCATAAGACGTTGTCACGTCAAAAAAAAAACATTTATGTTCGTGTTCCAGAATGGCGGGAACAGGACAGGTAGAGAGAGCGCGGGTGCGGGCTCGGCGGAGAGCGGTGACAGCGTGTTCACGCCGGGCACCGAGCGACGCCTTGAGAGGCTGCCCGCCATGCTCGGCGCGCCCACGCACGACGTCTACCTCTGCGGCACCTTCCCGGTAGGTAATCTACTGGGCTTATACTGCCCTTGAGCTGTTAGACATCAGGAGACGCTCGCGCAACTGTTGCGGACCTCCCCTCCTAGTACTTTAGTTCACCTACGACTTCTAATGAAAGATCTACGGGCCACTAGAATTTGTCTATCCCCAAAACAAGCCGATCGCCTCTATATCTCTACAGAGCGATCATAGTGGATATCTATGTACAACTATATGTCACGACTGACTGATTCGTATAGGAGTTTTATAAAGCATGAAAGGATGTGTGGAAGTACGGCCATTTTCGAAACGAAATTTCATAGGCTCTCTATGCTTATAAAGGTAAATTCAAAGACAATACATTGACATATTATTATAATATAATGACATTTTTAACCAATTTCTTTTTCCTTTTTTTGTTTACTACTTTTGAGGAACATCAGTTTTAAACATTGAATATCAATAAAAAAAAACAAAAAGGAACATAAAACAGAGAAAACGAATTTAAATCTTTAAGTGGTCATGATAATATTATGTTTCGGTCATTGGACGAATATATGTATAAAGATAGAGCATAATCTTAGAGGTCAAGATCCAGGAACAAGATATATACTTCTACGAATATTGTAGAACCACATTATAGCTTCGATATTGTAACATCTATCAAAACTTTTATCTATATTTTTGATTGGTTTCAGAGTGACACAACGCGGCCGGAAGAAATATTACGGCGCGAAGGAGTCTCGTACGTGATTCCGCGCGCGAACGATTACACGCGCATGTTCTCGTCGGCGGGACGGCGTGCGGCGCCCGAGCCCGCAGAGTCGCCGCGCCGCGACAAGTACGCGCGCGCCGCCGGTGACGTCACACTGCGGGACCACGCCGCCGCCGACGTCACGCTGCGGGATCGCACACTCGGTGACGTCACGCTGCGAGACCGCGCCACTACCGACCGCACAGACAGACTCAGCGCCTCCGACTACTATACCGTCTCCGAGGATGTCACGCCCCAACCCTTCAAAGGTACAAACTTGTTTTTTTTTTTGCATAGATGTGTGGACGACCTCACGGCCTACCTGGTGTTAAGTGGTTACCGGACCCCATAGACATCTACAAGATTATGCCGCTATATCCCCATCTTGAGATATAAGTTCTAAGGTCTCAGTATAGTTACAAAGGCTGTCCCCCCTTCAAACCGAAATGCATTACTTCACGGCTGAAATAGGCAGGGTGGTGGTACCTACTCGTGCATACTCGCAAGAGGTACAACCACCAGTTCTATCTAAATAAAATATTTATATATGTAAAGAAAAACCTTTATTATACTCTTTAGTTTTAAAAAAGGGTTTTTCTTCAGTGTCATTCAGTAAAAAAAAGTTCAGATTTGTATAATATATTAATACTGCTTAAAATATTAAATTTAAAAGAGATTAAGGGCTTTAGTGTTGTCTTATTATATCAGATATATTGTTATAACAAAACTCAGCTAAGTCTTTTGTCTAAGTTTATTTATTATGAAGTACATACTCGGATATCATTATGTATATATATAGTTTATGTTTATTTTTCACACATCGCGAACCGTCCCCAAGTATCCAAGTAAATGAATCAGTTGAAAATAAAAATTTCAGGTACATACGATGAGGATCTTTTGCTGGGCTCGCGCGTGCTCGTGTTCTGCATGAGCGCCGACGCGCCTTGCTTCGCGGCGATGGTACTGGCCGCGCACTACATGGGGCTGCGGCCCGCCAACACCGTGCTCATCGTTCAACCCATGGACAGGAAGTCCGCGCCCGCTGTGAGTATAAACACTCCTTGCTACCTTTACCTTGTCCAATCTCAGTAGATTAATCATGGAGGATAGAGCTAAGGAGAACCGTCTCTGTTTGTGAAAAGTGTCCGTTAAAATCTGCTAAATAAGGGTGGCTCTACAGTAGCAACCGGGTAAATTTAAAAAAAAGGCGCTAAAAGTTATTAGAATAAGATAGATACGTTATCCAATCTTAGTAGATTAATCATGGAGGATAGAGGTAAGGAGAACCGTCTCTGTTTGTAAAAAAAGTGTCCGTTAAAATCTGCGAAATAAGGGTGGCGCTACAGTAGCAACCGGGTAAATTTAAAAAAAGGCGCTAAAAGTTATAATAAGATAGAGAAATAAAAAAGCACGAAAGAACTGTAAGCACTGCAAAATCACAAAAAGTATTTTATTTAAAGCAGATAAAAAAATGCCATCGATGTCTCCACGTTTTACCACAGCAATAATTTTAGGTTATATTAACGAAATTAGTTTGGAATACGTTAATGTGTGAGGTCTTTTAAATTACACTGTCACTAACTACTCTAGTTATTAAACATATTAAATTTCCTAACTCAGCATACTTCAATCAGTTAACAACTGCTCAATTAATATCATACCCTGTGCCTATGCTAGCGCCATTCTGGAGGATTTTTGAACTGTTATTTAGTACTGAAAGTGGGATACTTCAAGCTTCTCCCATATCAGACGGTTCTCCTTACCTCTACCCTCCATATAGACTAATGTAGTAAACAACAATGGCTGACGAGTAACCAAAGACAATGTATAGGGTTGGGAAATCATAGATTGATATTTTGAAATGTATTGTGTATTATTAGTGTGTATTATGTATTAATTTCTGTTGATAAAAGTAAAAATTATCGCTAAGTAGTAAAGTTATTATAAAAATAATGATCTTTTGGTTGTTTGCAATATTATTTAGTTTATGTTTAAAAAGTTGAATACAATCACATATAGTACATTTCATTAGATATTTAAATGAATAAATATTGGAAAAAATCAAAACACGTTCATCATTATTATTTTTGTTATTTTCATGATAGTGTTGACTCTTGGGTACACAAAGCAAGGACTGGTACTGTTTTTGCGTAAATATATAATAACATATATGTACCCATATATAATAACATATATGTACCCATATATAATAAAATATATGTACCCATATATAATAACATATATGTACCCGACACAATTTAATCGATGCCATAAAGCTTTCATAAAAAAACTAATAATAATCAGCCAAATGGAATCTTTTTAAGGACAAAAAAAACAAAACATGCTCAATATCGACCTGAGTTTTTGTTAATTATAAATCGTTTAAGACTAAAAAACATTCTGCACAAGGATTAAGGTGCATATAAGTATTTTTTCTATAATAAAGCAATTTTCATAAAAAAGAATAATGAATCACCTCTATAATATAGCGTTTTAATCAGCTTATCTGTAGATATGTATGTATATCGATTTGTGTAATAAAATCTTTTAACGTCATTTTGACCGACTTCAAGACGTCCGATTAATTTGAAAATTTGTACATGTGTCAGGACTAATGGTAATACCTACCTACCTATACATATAATACCTACTAACTAATACCTACCTATTATGTTGGCTTAATACTTTTGTTTTTTCTTGCTTAGATGGGTGGACGAGCTCACAGCCCACCTGGCGTTAAGAGTCCATAGACATCTACAACGTAAACGCGCCACCCACCTTGAGATATAAGTTCTAAGGTCTCGGTATAGTTACGACTGCCCCACCGTTCAAATCGAAACGCATTACTGCTTCACGGCAGAAATAGGCAGGGTGGTAGTACCCGTGCGGACTCACAAGAGGTCCTACCGCCAGTAATTACGCAAATTATAATGTTTACCTATTATGTCGGCTTGATAATTTTTACCCAGACCTGATTTTGGTTTTCTTCTAAATTTTTAATTTACCTTTATTTATTTAACTTGCAGTACAGCGAAGCGGCGGTGAAGGACTACAATCGCGGCCGACATTACTTGTCGGATCTGGCGCGGCGGGCGGGCGTTCCGGTGTTCGACAATGTCGAATCGGCGATGGCTTGCGTCGTGGCTCGGCTGCGGGCCGCGTAGTCTACGCAACCACGAATCGTTCGTGAGAATTGATTCAGTAATATAAAAATACAATAACAACAACAACTATAAAAAAAAAAAGCTACGGAAAAACTAAGCAAGTTTTCTCCGGTCTACGGTATACGCCGCTTCGAATCGACAATCGTCACATCGTATTGCGTTGGAACTTTATTAGTCAGTTTCGGTTTCTCCCGAGCGAATCTCACTTGCCGTATTATACCTGTTACATTATATAGAAAAAGTTATATGAGGCGATTGAAAAAAAAAAACAACGAATAATCAGTTTCACACAACACAAGGCAGCCAACGTTCTGATAGAAAATATTTTAGATATTTTATATCCTTCCTTTTTAATAAAATGTTATAATAGTGTTTTTTTAATCGGTCTGTCCGAGAAATGTAACATTCCGACCTCAAGGAGCGGCCTACGATCACAAATACTTAAATAAAGACATCACAATGTTACAAACATCATTTTAAAACGTAGTAATGTTTTATTCGCGTGGAAAAGAGTCTCATATGAGTGTACTTATTAATTTCAAGACGTTTAGCTTAGTACAAAATAATGTCTCTCTTTTATTTCATCACTCTCTATTGTATAAATGTAATTGTTTTATAGATTGTAAATTTAAAGTGTTGTTCTAACGAATAATGCACGAAAGGGAATGTATGTGAGAGCGCAAAGGTTGTCTCAACGAGGATATAACAAATCTCTGTGATGAATTTGCTTAGGAAATTTTACTGTGTAGTTACACTTCATTATTTTAGCGAATAGTAAATAGTTTGCGTACGGTACACGTCGTGTACAATAGTTGCGTATGCAATTCTAGTAATCACAACGTTCGTCCTGAATCTTATGAAAGGATTCATAATTATACATAATGTCAAAGAGCACGGAGGTCAGATGATTCACTATGGACGACACTAGTTAATTGTTTGAAATGTACTTACAGTGGGTCTTATTCGTTATTCCTCTCGACGTAGATCATAATTACTGGAAGAGATATTTCGTGGAAACGATTTCGGACGACACAGCCGCACGGATAACTTTCGTAAAGTACAAATATCTTGCTCACGTAGCAATTTTAAGATTTAGTATATTAAAACGCGAAATTTTTAAGTAATGCAAACATTTAATATAAAACTTAACAACCTTATACTCATTTTATTTCGTAGTTTTAAATAAATGATAATGTTACAAAAAAAAAAATTAACTTACGTACTTTCTGGCGTAATTAATGCTTGCGAAAAAACAATGATTATAAAGTTAGCTGTTAGTATCCACTATTCCAAACATAACGTATTAGTAGAATATTTAGGGTGATTCAATACTTGACCCACTGTTACTAAAATATTTCATTTTTATAATATATTGTATTAAATTCAGCAAATATTATTTGCTAGTCACACACCCATTTAATTATTATGTTTAAGTACTTTATAATGTTGATTGATAGTACAAATAACTAATTTATAGGAAAATATTTCAAATATTAATTATAATTTTATGCCATGTACGCTTATTTTAAAACTAAAACATCACACGTGTAAATATAAAATTTATAATTATTCATGACTTTTATTCAATAAAAGGTAAATAAAAAAAATGGCGGATTATAATTTTCAAACGCAACTCTTTAATTTTTAAATACAAAATTTATAGAGTTCTGGTTATTTTATAAGCAAATGTTAGTAACAATAAATAAGAAAAAAAATAGATACAAGCCTCGGAATTCGATAAAAAAAGCCGTTGTAACTAACTATACTGAGACCTTAGAACTCACATCTCAAGGTGGGTGGCGTCATTTACGCTATAGATGTCTGTGGACTCCGGAAACCACTTAACACCAGGTGGGCTGTGAGCTCGTCCACCAATCTAAGCAATAAAAAAAAAACCTAGCCGAAGTTTATGGCGCTGTTTTTAAAATCTTTCCACTTGCTATTATAGCGCCACCTTAATTGTCTCCCTTTCAGCAGACACTTTTTAATATATTGATATGGGATTCCTTAGTTCTACCCTCTATACATAACAGAAGTAATATGCACGTTTGAAACGTCATTGATAAATCAAAATATTGGCTTACTGCGATAATTTTATATTTGTATTACAATTTTAAATAAAAATAATAATTTTACAATCAAACAAAGCCAATGTTAGGAAATTGAACACAGTTCATAACTGTTAAAATAAATGTTCTCGTGATGTCAAACACTATGGCCTTGGATTAATGCTAGTGAAGTAAATCGGACGATGCAAATGTGATCAAATAATTTTTATTTCAAAGGCAAAAAAACCAGACTCATTTGTAATAAAATCTAACAAACTTAATTCGACATGCATATGACATGTAACAACAAAAATATTCAAAAAGTATAAAGGATGTTATTTTTTTTAATTTAAAGCTATCATTCGATCATTATTTGTGAGTAATATTGATGTACATTTTAAATCTTCAAATAAAGACAAATCATCATCATTATCCTGCCCTTCTTCCAGTTACCTGGGGTCGGCACAACATGTTTTCTCCTTCCATACTCTTCTATCATATACCATTTCTTCGCTCACTCCCCTCTTACCCATATCGTCTTTCACATCCATCCATTTCTTCTTAGGTCTACCCCTTCCTCTATATCCTTCAACATTGATAGTTAACATTTCAAATAAAGACAAATATTTATATGTTTTCCGTCCATTCTTGGCGTCAACCTAAACATAATCACAATGCATGGGTGTTTATTTGAGCCAAATATCATTTGATAAATTGCGTTTATCAGAGACGTCCGCGCGCCCTATTTAATCCTTATGAAACATTTTAGAAAATAATGAAACTCACATGGTGATTCATCATATTTATTTTGAATAATAAATATACTCTTACATCAATTAAAAATAAAATATTTAATATACGTAATGTAACCGTGTAATAAAATAATTAAAACACATTTAGGTTAACAACAATTTGTAATTATCAATTTAATTACTTAAAATATTGTCATCTTTTCCTTCTCTTTTCTAAGTCTTTGTTCTTTAATGATATCTCGCTCACGTTGTTTTAAAGCTTGTAGTTCTTTAGTTTTCTCTCTGATCTGTAGGTTAATATTCGTGTGACCACTTGTTCCCTGAGGATATTTAACTAATGAGTTGTTCAACTTTATTATTTCACGTTCGATTCTATTTACATCTTCATCTATTTTAAATTTTTCTATATTCAAATCTTTACTAGTGGACTGTTTAACGTCAACTTCGGTCGGATCACAATTGTTGGTTTCAGTCTGCTCTTTATCCCCCAAAGTCCTATTGATAAAATTGAAAACATTTCTTCTCTCTTTCTCTTTCTCGCGTTCGTAAGCTCTTTTGTTTCTTTCTTCTTCTTTCCTTTGTAACCTTTTCAATTTTTGCTGCACCTTTAAATTAGAATATCAATTATTATCATGCATACAGTATACTAATTAAAAAATTATTAAATTACATTAAAAAACCCCTGCAAATAATTACCAGCCAGTACAGAACAAAAACTATAATTTAGAAAGTTTTTACGCTAATCATTGTGCAAGTGTACATATATGTGGCATTTAGGGACATTAACACTAACGGTAATGTCCAACAAATGTTTTATTCTCTATTTTTTTATCGGATTGGGACGTTTTGGATTTTGAGTATCCGTTGGTGTAGATCACAGTCTTGACTACTTCAGCCATGAAGCAATCCTATGTTCGGATTTGACGTGCAGGATCGCTGTTGCAATGCTATTGTTGTCCAGTAATCCGGTTAACAAATGTAATCGACCTCATGTCTCAAGGTTTGTAGCAATATTCGCGTTGTAATTTCAATTGAGGGTGATAATGATTTAAAACCAAGTGGTGGAACACGTCTCATGCCATATATCTTCTCATTAAAACTTTATAATCTCAAAACTTACTTATTTTACAGGAGAGTGTTTTAAAGGTTTACCATGTGGTATTTTTAATATTAATCATCTTTGCAACATAATTTTTTTGTTTACCAGATACAGTATCTGTCTTTGAAAGTAAGATAAAATCATGTATTAATTTTGTTAATAGTAGTCAAAATATAGGGAAAAAAAAAATTAATGCTAAACTACGTTCTTTTGACAGTATTTATGAGAAAAATACTGGTGATACCAAATGATTCCGCATATTAACTCAATTTCGAATATTTTTGGAAATTGTACACTTTTAATGCGAAAGGACGATAATGACGATAATTTACATGCAGAAATATCTCTATATCAGAACCGTTAATGTTACCTTCAATGGATCCTGACCGGCGTGTTTCTCACTGATCGCCATACAATGGTCTAAGCTCTTTCCGACGGGCAACACCCGCGCTTCAACCGGCTGCGTCCGCCCCTCGCCCGCGGCGCCCAGACCGGAGCCCGCAACATAGCCCATGGCGAACATAATCTTCGAGCCTATACCCTGTTCACAGACCATTTGACTGTCGAATATTAATCAACTTAAAACCTTTTTTTTTCAATTAATTATTTATGGGTAGTAAAATCCTGGTGGTAGGACCTCTTGTGAGTGAGTCCACACGGGTAGGTACCACCACCCCGCCTATTTCTGCCGTGAAGCAGTAATGCGTTTCCGTTTGAAGGGTGGGGCAGCCGTTGTAACTATACAGAGACCTTAGAACTTATATCTCAAGGTGTGTGGCGCATTTACGTTGTAGATGTCTATGGGTTCCAGTAACCACTTAACACCAGGTGGGCTGTGAGCTCGTCAAACATCAAGGCAACAAAAAAAAAATTTAAAAAAATGCATTTATTTATGACTAGCGACCCGCCCTCGCTTCGCTTCGGAAACATTAAAACACACATGAAACCAAAAAAATAAAATTAAAAAAATGAAAAAAAGTAGCCTATGTTCATCAGGGACAATGTCGGCTTCTAATGGAAAAAGAATTTTTCAAATCGGTCCAGTAGTTTCGGAGCCTATTCGAAACAAACAAACAAACAAATCTTTCCTCTTTATAATATTAGTATAGATGGTGCTACACTATAACAAAATTTCTAAATTTGAAAGAATGAGCTATAATACATATAATATATCCCAGAAATTTTCAATTTGCGTTTTTTGTTTAATTTGCTTGCTAGCAACGGATACCGCTTTTTAATATTTATAGATATGTCCTCTTAATTTATTAGAACTCTAAATTGTACTATCAATTGTTAAATTAGATTTTTTAACCTTTCAAAATGTTTTAGAATGTTTCCGGGATCTAGTTCATTACTGCAACTATGCAACTAAATAACTTTAAATCTGATGCTGATTTAATTTAGTGCTACTCTGAATATTCATTAAACTAACAATTATTGGGCTTTTAGTGAAAACTTTTGTATAACTAGTCTACTTAAAAATAATAATTCTGCTTTACTTCATTAACAAAGAGTAGTAGTATTACTACTACTATTTATGTCAAAAATTACGAAAATTAGCTTAGATTTAGCTATATTAAATGACGTCACTGGATCAATGTAAATACTGGCGATGATAGGATGGCATTTCAGTTTTTATTTATTTACTGTCAATCATTATAAATCAGTTAATCTTCCTTTACTATAAAAGAAATAAAAGTATGCAACAAAACTGTAAAAACAACATAATTTTTAAGACTTTACTGTCTGATCAAACATTTAAAAAGAGAGTTATAACATTATAAAATAGTATTTCAGATACTTGACAGGTTTGTGCAAGCATATGTACAATGCTATATGAAACAAAATAAATACAACTTTCTATTTAAGTAATTTCACTAGAAAAGTAAGCTTATACATATAAATAGTTTGTATTCCTAAAAAAGATGAAACAAATACATACTCACTCTAGTATGTCGCTCCCACTCTCCCATAGCTGGTGCATTATTCTGTAAGCTCTTTTCGACGATAAGCGTGTGTCTGTCGATTTCCGTTCGTATTGTTTTCTGATGGGAATATTCAGAGTCGCTCAGATCTTCACTGGAATCCGAATCATCTTCGCATTCGGCTACAAAATATATTTATATAAATTAATATGTTATATACAGGGTGGCCCATAAGTCCTTTGATATGAAAAAAAAATTATTAAAATAAAACTACAGTCAAAACCGTTTACTGCGACATCGTTTAATACAACATGCCGGTTATAATAACCTAGAACAAAGGTCCCGGCTGAATGCCATATGACCGCCTTATTAAAAATATTGCTTTCTACGACATTGGTAATAACGACATACCTCATAAAACGACCACATTTAACTAATATTTCGGAGAATTAGATCTGTTAGAACGACCGGCTAAGCTGTATTGTAAACAATTTGAATAGGTATCCACATTTGTCTTCAATGGCTATTAAAATCAGGAAAGAAAACAATAGGATTTAGTTTAGTGTAGGGTCTTTTCTAATTCTTAGAAACAAAACACATGCATGCAGTAGAGTCAAAGCCCGCTTCTTCATATCTCTTCAGTTAGTTTGTACTTATCTATACACAAGACGCACCAAAACTTTGTGGAGTTATTCGTGAAACTTTCAAAATGTCGCAAAGAAAAAGAAAACAAATTAATAATGAAGAAAAATCGCGTATTATGTAAATATATTTTACCAATAATTCCCTATCGATTTGTTTGTACTTGCACGATACACATTAAACATCACCGGTTGTTACGACTATCGGTTTTTACGACTGAATATGAGCAGTCCCTTCGATGTCGTTATAACAGATTTTGACTGTAATTACATTATGAATTAAATTTTTATTTACATAAAAAGCTTAAAAAACGGGAATTATTTTTTGAAAATAACATCTCCTAAAAGTAATCCGTTGCGATCACGGCACTCTTGCAAACGACGTCTAAATATGTCGATGACTGCGCGGCACGTCACTGCTTAAATGCTTGTCATTTCTCTGCGGATGTTTTCTTTTAGGGCCTCAATTGACCGCGGGTTTGTGTCGTATACTTTAGCCTTAAGGTAGCCCCACAAAAAAAAATCCATCGGGGTCAGATCTGGACTACGTGGAGGCCAGGAAATGTCTCCTCTCTTAGAGATAACTTTGCCAGGAAAAAGTTGACGGATAACGGGCATAGCAGTGTTAGAGGTGTGAGAAGTGGCCCCATCCTGTTGAAACCACGTCCTGGCATTAAAGCCTGAAAAGTTTTGCAATTCTGGTATGAAAAACTCTTCGATCATAGCCACATATCGCTCCGACGTAACAGTAACTGCGCGCCCTCTGCCATCCTCAAAGAAGTAAGGCCCTAGGATACCATGGGCTGACATAGCGGCCCAAACAGTCACTTTCGGACTATGTAAGGGCTTCTGATGCTTAAGTTTTGGATTGATGGGGCTCCAATAGCGGCAATTTTGTTTACTAACATGCCCGTTAAGATGGAAATGAGCCTCGTCAGAGAACATTATGTTATTGAAGGAAGTAAACCGATTCAACATTTCATTCGCATAATTTTGTCTTTGAATACCGTCAGTTTCCTTTAATTCTTGAACCAACTGAATTTTGTAAGGGTGCATATGTAAATCTTTCTTCAAAATCCGTTGTAACGATGTCCTGGATACGTTTAATGCTCTGGCGCGCTTACGAGTTGACTGTGTCGGATTTTCGCGAATAGACTGTGTCACTGTGTCTATGTTTTGTTCCGTACGTGACGTCCTTGGGCGACCCAACCGCGGTTTATCTAACGTCGAACCGGTCTCCTCGAACTTAGCAACCCAGTTCTTAATCGTTTGAAGAGTTGGAGTGTCGTCAAAGTTGTGTAAACCTTTGTGTTCTCGAAATTTACGCCGCGCAACGGTTGCCGAATTGTCGTTTTTATAAAACTCGCGCACACAAAACGCACGGTCCGCTCCGGTAAAACGCTCCATCGCGACTAAATTCCCAGAAACCGAAGTTACTCCCCCCGCTTCCCCTGCACCGCTCACGCGCGCCCTGTTCGTTTTATTCAAATTTTACTTTTCAAAGGACTTATGGGCCACCCTGTATGTATGTATGTTTATATGTTTGTAAGCCCGCAAGTGTGACCACCATCCTGATTCAACCATCAAGTAATCACATCCCAGTTTGAAGGGTTTTTTTCCTACCTAGTTGTTGCTTCGAGGGGCTACTCTAGCTTCGTCGGTTTGGTGAAGAGTGGGACACCCGTTACACAATATTGGATATAGAATAGGTACTTCGACTTTATGTTTCAAGGTGCGTGGCGACATTTACATTGTAATGTCTAAGTGCTCCAGTAACTTTACATTTAAGTGGGCTATCAATCAGATCGTTCACCGATCTACCTTAATAAATAAATAAAAATGCGAAAGAAAATGTTGTTTTTATTTTGTGACCAATGATTTTGCGAAAATTGATTTTTTAATAATCTGGTAAAAACAGTGAAACATCGTATCAGGAATATCAGATTCATTGTTTATGTTACATAAAAACTTTGCACTATGGGCATTTACAAATTATTTTGAAGGATAAAAAACTAAAAAAATCAAGTTCATTCTATATAATATATATAAATCTACATATTTTATTTATTTTGTTAGATTTTATACTTACTGGTAAGAGGGAAAATATCTTCGATGCGCACAATAATTTCATCTGATCCCATCTTCCTTTTTTCGCCGGTTTTAACGCCGTGCTCCAATTTAACTGTGCACAATTGGTTTTCATTGTCTATAGATTTCACTATTCCCCTATGCCATAGATGATATTTTTCTGTAGACTTTTTTGTTATGCTTACATCCTGAAAATTCAGACAATATTTATGCGAACATTATATATCTGAAACTTTCTTTATTTCAGTTCGCGACTTTTGTGAAAGGGAAAACGATGTTGGAAATCATTATCTTAACCATCACATTTCTAAAATTCTATGTGTACCTACTTAGTCCAGCCATAAGTTTTGTTACAAATTAAAATGCATTTTTTTAATGAAGTAATGTAATATTATGAACATTTATATCTACATATTTACATATTTATTAAAGCAGCAGCAAAAAAAAAAAATATTCTATTCGAAATGGCCACCTTCGGCTTTTATCAGGCCTTTAATCTGTTTGGCCACGAATCTCTGGATTTACGCATTGTTTCCAAGAGAAATTTCGCCACTGCTTGCTCCAAAGATTTTTTAAGAGACTTAATGTCGCCGTGTGGTTTAGAGCAGGCCATCCTCTAAAGCTGACTATAATTTTTTAAAGGGTTGAGGTCTGGGCTACTTGACGGCCAGTCTTCAGCTCTTATAAAGTCCGTTGGTTTCAAGCCAGGCTTGGGTAGTTCGTGCCTTGTGAACAGGTGCAGCCCTGCTGGAAAGCCTACGGTATATTTTTAAAAAGTGTATTGCTGGGAGGTTTCACAACATGATCCAAGACTGTTTCTTGATACAATTTAGGGGAAAGTTTTCACTTCTTTTTCCCAAAAATGTAGTTTAGTGACTCTCTTGATAAGACACGCTCCACCAAACCATCACTGACGCAGGATGGTGACCACGTTGTACCCTTCCGACCACTTGAGCAGCTTCTTTAGAACTGTGAGCGAACACTTTATCGTTATGCTTATTGTTGTGTTCTTCGATCGTGAAAATTTTTTCATCGGTAAAGAGGATATTTCTGTACCTTTCACCTGCGTATCCCGAAAGAAGGCGTTTTGATCGATCCACTCTCTTTAATTCTAAATATTGATTTAGGGCATGTCCTGTATATCGGCGATAAGCACCGAGCTCCAGGTCTTGTTTTATAATACGCGACAGAGTCCTAGCGGGAATCTTAATTTCTCGCGATAAGATTTTTTGCTTCCTAATCGGGTTTCGACGAATTCTGGCTTTAACAGCATTAAGAGTCTTTGTAGTTCTAAAAGCACGCGGCCGCCCCAATCTTTTCTGGTCTTCGATAGACGAAGTGTTGTTGTATCTGTTGATAGTACGATATACGAACATACGGCTGATACAAAGCTTTTAAAGTGTCTGTAATATGACCGACGACTCCATACCCACTTTGTGCAAGGCGACGATCACTGCAATCCTATTTTCTTTAACACCCATTCGATATTGTAATTTGATAATGAACACGAAAAAAGACGTGAAATGGCGCAGAATCGAAAGAAATTTTTAATATAATGTACATACGTGTTCCAAATTCAAAATAAATAAAAAGTTTAAAAAAAAAACGAAATGTTTTTACGTAATAGTATTTATGGCCAGACTAGTTACATATTTAAGACAGTAACCGACAAACTTTCAGTGTATGATGACCATCTTGCCTATGTTTACTGTAAAATTTGACAGGAACACTTCTTGTACCTATCTTGTAGGAACACTCCATGTAGGTCACCGGTGCCCTACGTGGCGCACTGGAGTTATGTCGATTTTTGTTACTAAGCGCCTGGATTGCCTAATTTTGCAATCTAGGCGCTTAGTTTAACTGCCTTCTTTTGTTTGTTTATGTATGTTTTAGTCTTTTAGGTTTCTGAGAAATAGATTCATGCTCAGTATCATCAAAAACGAAAGCCTAAGTCCACAGTCAGCATTATGTGTCTTAAATTCGAAAATCACGTCAGCTACAAGATAATTGCTGTTTAATTTACCTCATCATCTGGCGGTTTCAATTTCAACAAAATACTGCTACCGGATTTAAGTGAACTGAAATTCGGTTCTATTGCTTCTTTTAGATCAGACAGTTGTACAACATTACCATGCGAATATCTGAAACAAAAACCATGTGGTAATGTACTTCACAAGCAGTATTAGTATAAGCCCATAGTATATTGTGCATAGTCTATAAATCCATTTTTGGCCATGGTATATATTCAAACCTTTGCTAAGTTGGATGTTTTAAAAATGTAGGTATGTATGCACCAAGAAAACTGAAGCATGCATATTAATTTATTAACCCATTTAATTATCAGGAGGTGGCATATTCCGCCTGAAAGAGTAAGCGAAATAGACTTTTTACACTGAAAGTAGTAAGCGAAATAGACTTTTTCACTGAAAGGAGAGAGCAGAGCAGACTTTCGCTCACTATTTTACGTTCAAGATTTGGATTATGTCAGATAAAAATGCATCTCAAACTGCAGTGGAACTTAAATAGTAACAAAATATAAACCTTCGGAGGATTTCTAATTCCTGCAGTATGTTGTGTTTTAATAATCCCACTGTAATATTTTATTTTAAGTTATAAATTTCAATGTCCCCAGTAGATTTTTAATTTTATGTTGGATTAATATTTATATAATAAAGGTACATCAACCACATACATATCCAGCCTAACAACATATTTAGAGCTAAATGCATGTTAATTGAGGTTATTAAGAAGATTTTATTAAATGCAGACATAATATTTTAATGAAATAATCATCACTAACTTAAAATCATATAATGTAGAATTTATTGATAAATTAATTAGTATAAAGTAGAAATTATTTATTAGAAATTAGTAGTGAAAATTAACTTAAATTATTTGAATTAAAAATAAAATATAAATGTAGTCCTTATTGGTGTTATTGGGAATTATATCATCTAGACTGATGAATGTGTGAGCTTTTATAAACTTACAGAAGTGCGAATTTAATGTAATACAAAATATAATTTTTTATGCTCACCTGCATTGTTCATCACTAAACTTACAATCTCCATCTAGGTAAAATGGACAAGGCAACATTTCTGCATGTGTTGGATGAGTAAATAATATTTGAACCTGAAATCACAAATTGAAAATAAAGACCCACGAAAATTTAGAATATCTTTTGTCCTCTCAACTTCCTATAACACTTTAATATTATAGTTTTTTTACATGTTGACATGAAAGGAATAAAGTCAGCCATAATAAAACTAGAATTGAGGCATAATGTATTATCGATATTTAATGGACTATGGATAGGGAAAAATTTCTTTAAGCAATCAATCTAAAGTTACACTCTAGATATTGAAACTTATGATGAAAAGACCAAAACACCACACACGTTACTGGTGGTAGGACCTCTTGTGAGTCCGCACGGGTAGGTACCACCATCCCGCCTATTTCTGCCGTGAAGCAGTAATGCGTTAGAGAGAGACCGTGCGTGTGAGACTTTAGAACTTATATCTCAAGGTGGGTGGCGCATTTACGTTGTAGATGTCTATAGGCTCCAGTAACCACTTAACACCAGGTGGGCTGTGAGCTCGTCCACCCATCTGAGCAACAAAAAAAAACACGTTTCTGTAAAATATTTGCAAAAACTATAATACTAATCAAACTTTTTTTTTTCCTACCTAAGCTGGTAGCCTTGAGAGGCTATTCCAGCGTAACCTTAACTAGTAATCACAGTAAAAATCACAAATATACGAACCTTAAGATCATTGAATTGGTCATCATCTGCCCTAGGCAGTATCGAGCTGACCATAGCATTGTGTAGACTAGGCTGGCCACCCCATTTGTGGGTATGATAAACAGCACACTTCATACCCAATAAACTAGAGAGGTCATCCTGCAGTTGTCAGTGTGAAGGGAAAAAGAAGGTTTAATAGTTTTATTATATGAAAAATAGCTCAGTCATGTCGAGACATGAGGTAATATAATCAAATAAAACAAGTATTGCTGCTCAGAATTACGAAGTCGTTGTGGCCTAAGAGATAAGACACCCAGTGCATTCATATCAAGCGATACAATGCTGTTTCAATCCCACAGGAAGCTATCAAATTTTCTAATAAAATATATAATTAATACATGGTCATGGTTGTCTTCCACCGTAAAGGAATAATGTTACGTAATAAAAATAAAAACCGCATTGTGGGTCTGCATGGGTAGATACCAGCACCCTGTATATTTCTGCCGAGAAGCAGTAATTTATTTTTATTTGAAGGGCGCATTTCATTTGACAGCTCCAGTGTGTTAATAGTATGATCTTCTGCAGTTAATCAGAAGATGCTTCTGTCTTCACAATTTTACTAACTAAATCATCACACAATTTCAGTTAGTTGTTGCTAATCCTGACTCTACCATTAAACTTCATTACAAATGTTTAGTGTCTATGGATTAAGTTTCCATTTCATTGCTTGTTTTCTCATGTTTTGCATTCTGTCAAGTATTTCGCTATTTTTCTAGAGGCACGCTTATTTAGTATAACAGATGACGACAATCAAATTGTTTCATTTTGAATAATATTGTAGACATTTTTTTAAAGTTTGTATGTATTAGACTTTACCTCTATGTCACTGTTGCCGTTATTTTCTTCTGAATCATTTTTGTTTTTGCTATCATCATTGTATGCATTTGAGTCATTCATTTCTGCCTGCCAAATAAAATGTTTTAAATAATATTTAACATTATGTACGAAATCAATGATGATTTTATAATATATATAACTTTATTAGAACTACCAGCAAAGACAGTCCATGGATTAGATAGATTAGATTGCCTTGAGGATTATTGCAGAGGTGATCCACCACAACTTACTGTTTTGATATATTTAGTTATCACATCTTATCAAATGAACAGATATAGCTTTTTCTGGTATTGATGTTGAAAAAAGAATAGTTCTCCACTCATTTCTATAGTTTATCACGCCAGATTTTTATATTAGAATCCTTTGATATTTTTAAGCAGTGGATCTATCAAGGATTCATTTAAATATCAACGAATAGCTTATAAAATAGGTATCTTAACCCATTTTTATATTATTACTTGTGATTTTATAGGTGTAAATAGTAAGGATATAATTGGTTTCGTACAAAACGGACCACATTACAATTATTTAAGTCTGAGAAGAGCAGGAACATTTACATAAGTGACAAAGAAGTTTTATTACCATGAACCTAGCATATTCCTCATCCAAATTATTCTGCTCATTGTTCTGTAGATCGGATTTTAAATGTTTGCTGGTCGCTGTTGCTAAGCTCTCTCGAGTTAATTCAATTAGTTGATTTAAATCAGATTGTAGTGTTAAAAGAGACTCTTTCTCTTTGAGGTCATGTGTGGCTTCTAGGGATTGCTGCACAATTTTAATCTATAAAAAATATTATCAATTTATTTCTACATTCGTGATGATTATTTTGGAGTATATCCTTCTAAGATTACACTCACTTGTTCTTTGTATTGATTTAAAGACGATTCAAGGTCTTCCATTTTTTGCCGGTACCGATTTGATTTTCATTACTTGTGCGGTTACAATATTTACAATAGGGTCAATTTAATTTATGTTTTTAGTTTTTAGTGTATCAACAAAATTAATCTAAAGACACTTTATGATCGTAGGCATTAATGCAATGCTTTGAAACCTAAACATTTACCTATCTCTCAAACAAATATTAAGTGTATAATCTATGCATTTATCAGTTAACACAGATTAGCATAGTTTTTTTTAAGGGATTTTCTGCCCTGTTTTCTAAGACCTTACGGTTAAACATGCTATTTTCACTGAAGTAGGAAACCTATGGAAATGAAACGTCAACAAAAAATTCGTGCACTGAAGTAGGAAACCTAAAAGAATTCGTGCCACTGTGACGTCATCTGGCCACAAAACATGGCGGTTTTAGTGCTGCCCAGAAGATTTTAATGTTAGTAGGTTTTATCGATAAACGTTCTTTTTGTTTTTTTTTTTTTTTTATTGCTTGGATGGATGGACGATCACAGCCCACCTGGTGTTAAGTGGTTACTGGAGCCCATAGACATCTACAACATAAATGCGCCACCCACCTCGAGATATAAGTTCTAAGATCTCAGTATAGTTACAACGGCTACCCCACCCTTCGAACCGAAACGCATTACTACTTCACGGCGGAAATAGGCGGGGTGGCGGTACCTACCCGTGCGGACTCCCAAGAGGTCCTACCACCAGTGACAAAACCACCAGTGACAGCGACGGTGACCGCTTACCATCAGGTGGGCCGTATGCTCGTCTGCCTACAAAGGCAATAAAAAAAATAAAATAAAAAAAATCACCAGTTCTTGACTCATTTTATTTTAAATATTGTTGAGTATGAATGAATTTGTAGAATTTATACTTTAATAGGAATTAAGTATATTGTTATGTGCAAAGATGATGTGATTTAGATATTATGTGAAATCTAAGACGAGTTCGTGCTTCAAATTTGCCAAGTAAACGATATGACGATTTTTAAAATTTGCTACACTGATTTTATAAAGTTGTCGTTTGCCGCAAAACATAAAGATATGGCGTAGTGCAGTGCCATCTGCCCATTTCTAGCATGCTGAATGTTATCGTATTTTGAGTACGTGTTTTTCTTAGACTATTATAATATATTTTAATTGTTTTGCTGACTCTAAAGTCCGTAACACACTACCGCAGCGCACCTCAAGGAAGGTACGCCGCACTACCGCACCGCACGCAAATTTTAAACTTATCAAGGGACCGCCTGATAAAAAAAAACACCTACAGAACATTTATTCGTTAATGAAATTACAAACGTCATTCCTTGTGACTTCCTCTCTAAAATCACTTAATTAATAAATATTTAACGAATTTACAATAGTGTTTTACTCACTGCGGAATAAAACTATTTTATTTAAATAGTTCCGAAGAGATTTTGTCGGTAGCCTTTTTCCCGAAATATCTAAACAGAATGTCTAAATATGTTTTGATGACATATTTTAAAGTGGTATTTATGATTAGTGTCATGATCAATAGATTCCGACCGAAAAATGGATTTTTCGGATGAGGGCTCCATAATGAATTTAAATACATATAGATAATAGTTTTAGGGCATCGACTTTCTTGAGATCCTATAAAATACGTTTTAATTATTATTTTTGTATGTTTTAAGCATGATAAATTATGAAATTTTATATAATCAATCATATTAAATCGATATCAAAGTCAATAAATAATGTACAACCCAAAACAGACGGCCGAACTGACGTGACAATGACATTTGGCGCGCTAAACATGGCGGATTTTCGGCCTCATTAGACGGAGACGGAGATATTTACGTATATTCATGTTTCATTTTATGTACGCACTGAAATACTGTTATATTGTTTTCCTGCGAGTTAAAGTGCTGAGTAAGAACGAGATAGATATATGTTTATGTATGTGCCTTCAAAATGGGTGCTATTTATATAAGCAATTGTACGTATAGAACAATATGTCGTGTCCCTACTATATAGGTCTATGCACCATCCTTGACGTCACTTAGGCCACGCCTCCAATGTCATCATCATCTTCTAACAATATAGATAATAGTTTTGGGGCATCGACTTTCTTGAGATCCTATAAAATATGTTTTAATTATTATTTTTGTATGTTTTAAGCATGATAAAATTAGAAATTTTATATAAGCAATCATATTAAATCGATATCAAAGTCAATAAATATTGTACAACCCAAAACAGACGGCTGAACTGACGTGACAATGACATTTGGCGCGCTAAACATGGCGGATTTTCGGCCTCATTAGACGGAGATGGAGACATTTACGTATATTCATGTTTCATTTTATGTACGCACAGAAATACTGTTATATTGTTTTCCTGCGAGTTAAAGTGTTGAATAAGAACGAGATAGATATATGTTTATGTGTGTGCCTTCAAAATGGGTGCTATTTATATAAGCAATTGTACGTATAGAACAATATGTCGTGTCCCTACTATATAGGTCTATGGCTATTTTACATTAAACATGCCTTAAACATGCTATTTTAAGGAGTAAAGTGAAATGAAGATGATTAATTTGAGACATTAATCAACTGGGATGAAATTAAATGAAATGAGATGAGATGATATGGGATGAAATATAATCTCGATAAAATGGTGGTCATATAATGAGATTTTTTCAGTGGACTTTTGGAGGATCCCGAGAAGTTACGTCCAGCGGCTTAGTTTCATTTTCCCACTTTTTTGCACTTTCACTGATATTAAACAGTTAATAAACCACCGTTATTACACATTTAAACCTGAACAAACACTAACTAGACAAAATAAATAAATAAAAGAGAGAAAAGTTTCTAGCACTAAAATCATTACTACCACAAGAAGTTAATTTGAAATGCGATTCTTTAAAGCATATCAGCTATTATCATGCATATTCAGAGTTGTTTTGTGAACTTTCAACTTTCTACTATTACACTACAAAAAATGGAATATTTTGCAACGATTATAAAACTAATATTTGTATGCGTCGAAAGATTTTCCTGTTTTTTTCCCCATTCACCTCTCAATCCCTAATCACCCCATTTTACGTACCCTTTATTAAATGTTTCTTTTTATATTCATACACTAACAGGCAAAAGGAACATAAACTATATTACCCAAATTTAAAAGAAGGTAAAGCTTAAAGCCACCTTTTTGTACGAAAAATTAGATAGAAGAAATAAATGAGACAATTGATTAATACAACAAAATAGAAATGAATGAGGTAAAATGAGATATTATCGCAAGTGTTAGGAGAGGAGAAGTATAGCTTTAGCTAGACGGTGGGAATTTACAGTTGCGAATTGTAAAATAGTGTAAATAAATTTACACTACTAAATTTTAATACAATTTAATGCCGCTTAGATTAGTAGTTCAATCATTCATGGATTTACTCAGACACGAATCCTTTGACAAAAGGATTTCAAGTTGACATTATTTTTTTTCAAATAATTTTAGTCGATAGATTGCTTTTAACGGTAAGTCGGTAACCATACGAAAATAGAATACGATAATGGTTTGTTTATCTTGATTTAGTCTAAAAATATTCCATGCCTTAAAATAAAACAAATATTCATAAAAAAATAAAAAAATCAATAATCTGTATGATAATCTGTAATGTCTAATTTGCATTTAGATTTTATAGTATGTACTATCATTTAAGGAATTGTAGTAGTAGCAGCAGCACTTACTGCACATAAAATAAAGATTATACTATTAATAAGCTTATTTAGAGCTAAACCTTATATATTATTTTATAGAATAATCATTATTTATAACCATTTATAAACCATTGTTGGACTAGAAATTAGATACAGTAGAATCCGGATATAACGACTTTCAAGGGACCGGCGAAACTATGTCGTACTAACCGGATGACGTACAAAACGGCAGAATTATTTCTTAAGTACATATGTTAAGTACATATATTTAACCAACTCATGGAGCATGTAAAATTTTGCATGTCTAACTGTATAGCGAAAAATTGCTTTCTTGTAGCAGAGGGTAAATTCACGGGTATTCCCCAGTCGCGCTGAAGCTTGAACCACTGTAACAATGCCTTATCCACCGGCTCATGAGTAGGAGTTCTTACACGTTTGTATTTTAAAACATTGGCATTAAACATCGGCTCGATCTTATCTTTATTTTTCTTTATTGTTGATATTGTAGAATGAGATACACCAAACTCCTTTGCGAGGGTTGCATTTGATTCACCGGCTTCTAATCGGTGTCATATTGCACATTATTCTTCAATTGTAAAACACTTTCGCTTCATAGAACTCATTTTGTCGAGCTTTAAGAACTTCTCATAACAAGTGACAAGCACTAACTTTGATTCACGCGCCAATAAAGGGGGCGGGGTGAAGTTGGGGCGCCGAGGTATTGGTAGGTTATTGTAAATAAAACATTGTGCGTCGTTTTAACCGGACGTATCATCATAATATTCATAATTAAGGGTCGCTATAAGCAGTTGGTCGCTTAAAACGGAGTCGCACTAAACGGTCATATTTTCTCAGTACCTAACTATGAAACCTAACTTGAGTAATCATTATCGTCGTTAAAAGCGGTTAGTCGTTATAAGCGAAGTCGTTGTATATGAATTCTACTGTATTTCTAAATACTCTATGTTCATTTTTACTTATTTCTTTAAAGCGTTCACAGTGATTTTTCTTATGACTTTACCAATAACTTTTTTGACATCATTACCAGAGTACATATCATCATCATTAAAGTTTTCTATAACTGTTTGATATGTTTCATTCATTATTTGTTTGACTTTGTCTGTAACCCCTGTGTCAGTATTATTTAATGATAGGTTGTCTAATATTTTAGTGGTACTAGTTAATTCCTCTTGTTTCACTGATAATGTTTTTTCTAATGAGTTAATTTTATTTTGTAATTCAAATTGACCAACAGATAATTGTTTTTCTAGTTCTGCTAAATTTTCCTTAAGTTTAAAAATTTCATTGTCTCTTAATTTTAATGCATCTTCTTGTACAGCTACTTTATTCTGTAATAACTCAACTTCATGTTGATAGCTTTCCCCTTTTTGTACATCACGGTTTCTTGTAATGTTTTGAGTGGGGATATCGTGACTTTTACATCTGAGTAAATCTTCATATATTTTTATTTTACTTTCATATTCCTTGAGCAATTTGTGTAACAGTTCTACTTCGGTACTTGTACAAGTGCTTTTTTGTTGATGATGTAAATCTGACATTTTATTTAAAACACTATCAACCTTGTCATTTAATCTGTTTATGTTAATTCTTATTTCACCATTGTTTACTCTTTGTTCGGTCAAAAACAAATCTAAATTTTTGTCATCTTTTGGCTCTGTATTAGTAATAATGCTTGTACTTGTTACCGGTACTAATATATCATTCACAAATGTATATAAAGCAGAGTTATCCAGAGGCTTTTGCATCTTTGTTATAAATGAGTTGTGTCTGTCAATGTTTTGTGGCTGTAAAATATCAATACTTTTATCAGGGAAAGTTTTTTTCATAGCATTTTTTGGTGGTTTATGTCTAACTAATTTCGGTGGCTCTTTACTGTCTTCAGTGTCTGAGGAGTCATTTCCCCTGTCTGCTATTCGACAATGGGCTGGTAATACAGACTGACCCATGCTAGCCATTCTGTTTAATATTGATATTTTAGTTTTTCTATTCATAGAAGAGTCTGTATCACTGTTTGCTTGAGATTTACTTTGTTTAATTGTACTTTCAATTATGTTTGTTGCAGGTGTTTCATCTTCCAGATCAGGTGGTGTAGTTTTATCACCATATCTTAATACAATATCAAATTTTTTAAGGATCTCTGTAATGATTTTTACTTCATTATCTGTAGCATATAAGCACCAGTATTTCTGAAGACTATCATAGAAAGCCAAATGATTGTTATTTACTACTATTTGCAATTTTGTTGAAACTATTGTACTTGATAATGTAGTTTTGTTAGAATCATAAAGCACTATGTTGTGAATTTCTCCAATTGTTTGCTTTATTATGGCAAAGCCAACTTTCCCTTTTAATACATATGCATTTTGAGTCCTGTAATTGATTAAAAACAATTATTTTCTTAATAAATAAATCTGCTCCCTCTCAATTATTAGCTGTGTATATGTACTTTTCTGAAAAATGAATTCTAATAGGTATATAAGTAATCAGCTACCCGATTAAAAAACACATTGACAAATACATTCATTACAGAAGAACACATGAATTAAGTATTTAAAATAAATAATAATTCAATTAATCGAATTTCTTATATTTACCATTCATATGCAGTTAGTGCACAAGCATATACACACTGTGTTTGTTTAGTATCAACAGGTTTTGGAGAAATTTGTGGTTTAGGTGGTGTATATTTTAATGTTTTGTCTTCTGAGTTTCCAAAATTAGGCTCTTTATGACCAAAGATGTCAGCCAATGTAGTGCTGAAAAGTTAAAACTGTTTTCATTGTAATTCGAAGATTATCTGAAAAATTTCTTCTAAAACTAATTACCTCGCTACGGGCGTAAAGAAATCGTCGTCAAAATCATCGTTTTCCAACATTGTTGCACAATTTGATTAGAATTCTTCTGTTATCATGAATCAAATACTTTAGTATTTTTTTGTTTTGGACACTTTCTAAAGTTCTTCATATAAACTTTTTAAGTTGTCACTAAATTATCAACTGTTTAGAACGACAATTATTTGCAAATTAATCCAGTACATCGCAAAAGAAAACTTCACATTGTCCATAGGTCCCCATTTTGGATATCCTACCTAGTTTTTGTTATAAATTAAAGTTTATTAAATTAAATCATTCACATCTGTAGCAACTCTATGGCGATTTTAATATAAAATTGTGAAATTTATTTGTGTCAATTTGTAAATGTCAAAACACATGCCGTAATTTTTTTTAAGGGATTTTATGACCTGGTAACTAAGACCTTTAGGTCAAGTCTTATTTTGATTTATATTCTTTTTATGAAAAATGATAATATGAAGTGAAATGAGATGAGATGAGACAAGACGAGACGAGACGAGATGTAATCAGATGTAATCTTAGTAAAATGGTGGTTAGGTCTACCAGGATCTGATGGCAAAAAGGGAAAAAAGAAATTGACGCTAGCAATACTGGGTAGTAAGTAAAGTAAGTAAAACGTTTTGAGGAAGGCGCAGTATTTTTGCCACCTTTCCTCTTTTTACCGGGCGTACTAAATACGCCTCTGTTAGATCTTTCTTCAGCAACAATTCGTCTTATGGTAGTTTTAGAAATAAACCAAGCCTGAAATAAACCAAAGTTTAGTATATATAATACACACGAAAATGCAATAAACCAAAGCATCAAGACGTGTCATTCCTACTAACCCGTGAACGCACATGGTTCTATATCGATGATTGTGTTTGTTCTGCACCTTGTTCATCAAGTATTCTTTGATAAACATTGAAAACAATATTTCTTGCTTGCGATCGAAGAGGTTTCTTCGACATTTTCACCACTTTTTACAGGAAATTTGAAGCCAAACCAAAAACAATTACTCGAAATTTCAGTTTTGACAGATGACATTTTTTTTGTTGCCATATGAAAATCGCTATTTTTTTCCCTTTTTTTTGCCATCAGATTCTGGTAGACATACCAGGTCTATATTTTATTTCACTTTACAATTTTTTGGGAAGACATTCTTTGTTTAAGAATGTAAATTTTACATACTATGGACTATGTTTCGTTTGCCATTCTGATAGAAAAAAACCCAACAATTATCATAGATAATATCACACTACACTTCAATCAATTACTATCAATCACTCATTTTTATATTAAAATTATCCTAATTGCACGAAGTTAAAACACCTTCAAAGTAGTCCACCTCCAAAGCTAAAACTCAATATCTACGCAGGTGAAAATACGAGATTTCTTTGTTATTTATTTGAAAAATTTAATTGCGTATCCATAATCTTTTTACCATTTTAGCTAACATAGTTATTAATTGCACAATATGACAATGTTTTCATGCATAACCTGTAAAGTGTTGTTTAACACATCCGAATTACAACGTGAACATTATAAATTAGATTGGCATAGATATAATTTAAAAAGAAAAGTAGCGTCTATCGAACCTGTCACCCTTGAGGAGTTTGAAGAGAGAGCTAAAGAACATAGAGAAAGTCAAAATGGAAAGCAAGATGATTCACAATACTGCCAATGCTGCTCAAAGTTATTCAGCACCAAGAACTCGTATAACAATCATTTGAATAGTAAGAAACACAAAGTGAGTGTTGAAAGATACACAGAAAGTCAAAAGGATCAAGAGAACAGCGGTCAATCTGATACAGACAGTTTTGTTAAAGTTGAATGTACTACTGGCTTAACCAACGAAAGGAGTAAATTTGTTGTTGTGAATACTACTGATTCTGGAGAAGAAATAGAAACTGACTCTGAAATAGAGGAGGTAAATTTTAATTATGTACCAAAGGGTTTTGATTGAAGACCAAAGCTTAACTATTAATTTTTATCAACAGCTAGATTCCGACGAATGGGATGAGTGTCGCATCCAAGAAAGTGATTCACTTATCAAACCCCGGGATTGTTTGTTCTGTGTACATCACAGTAAGAATATGGTAAAAAACTTAAAACACATGTCAGAAGCACATTCGTTCTTCATTCCTGATGTAGAGTTTTGTATAAATATTAGAGGTCTGCTGTTGTACTTAGGAGAAAAGGTAAAGCACAAAATAGTGATAAGTGTATTTATTAACAAACTGTTAGCAAATCTAAAAGCATTTTTTACTTTGAAATAGATATCACAGGGATATATGTGCCTATGGTGTAATGACACTGGAAGGACATTCTACTCAATGGAAGCAGCACGGGCCCACATGATTGATAAGGGACATTGCAAGATGTTACACGAAGGTCTTGCTTTAGCGGAGTATGCAGACTACTATGATTACAGGTAGAATACTTGCTAAGAAGCAAATTAATCATCAACTTTAGTTCAAGGCATAATAAAAGGGTAAAAGGGGACATACTGCTTACTCATTCAAATATCTTGGAAACGATCTCTCTGATAGAATTGGAATTTGGCATAGAAACTCTTGTGATGTAGACACATCTAGAATGAATTTATGGAAATCTTATTGATTGTATGGGTTATTCATCTACTATCACATACATAATAGCAAAACATACAAATAGGAAAAATTTTAATTGCTTGCTAAAGAACTGGTAGTTTATGGATGAGAGACTGACACATACAACTTTTATCCTAAAAAAATGCAACAGATTTCAAAATATTTCTTAAATGAATTTTTTATGTACATGTATTATATAAAAACAGATTTTAGCTTCTTTATTATCGTACACAGTATTTCAGAGTAAATGAGTAAAACAGTGTATGGACAGGACATAGTGCACAAAACTCCTGCAATATGATTAATAATTTCTCAAAACAATTACATATTTCACCATAATATGCATCATTGTCTTCTAGTTCTTCATATCCTGATCATGAAGATGAAAGGGAAGATATGAATGTTGATGAAGAAATAGATGGTCCTGCAACACTGGAAGGAGATGATTTCCAATTGGTGTTGCCATCTGGAGTTACTGTTGGTCATAGATCGCTGATGAGGTATTTTATAGAACAAATTAGCGAAATAATTGAGAATTAATATAGTATAATATAATATAATAGTATGACAATTAGTCCTATCATCTGTTATTCATAGTAATCATTATCTTAATTTCCTACACATTTCAAGTAAATTATTTTATTATATCTTGGCAACTGTATGCAGTGCTGTCATCATTCTTTGTAAAGTTAGCCATACATTTCAATCTTAAGGGAAAGGCTTTGATTTGAATATTTTGATAAAGACATTATTTAAAGGCATTTTGATGTTAAAGGATGCTGCAATATTTACTATGTGATTATTTAGGCTTCAATCATCTCTAATTGCCAAGACTGAGCTAGTCTGTAGAACTACTCTAGTAAAATGAAATAAAATTGAGATTTCCAAATGTCTCTCTTTGAGGTGGACCTTAATAGTTCTCAATTACACTTATGTTATGCATTAGAATTTTGTCACCAACCGAATTTTGAAATGTGATATAAAACATTTTTTTACAGTATGTTCTATTTGTTGCAACACATAACTTATTATTACAGATACTACAAACAGAATTTGACACAGAGCAGTCAAGCACTAGTCAAAAAATCTGATAGGAAACTGCATAGGCTTTTAGGTGTTTATAAAGCCCTGGGATGGGCGCCAAAGGAGCAGAAAATGGCTGCCAAGTAAGTAGTTTACTTAAATTCTCATAATTTCAAAATCAATTAGTAAACATTATAGTATTGTATAAAATATAATCACAATATGAAATGCAATATCTTGCTGTCTTTGGCGTAATTTATAGAAAAAAAAACATAGTAATATGTTTTTTTAACACAGGAAAGCTCGGGATATACACTTCATGAAGCGTGTACAAGCAAAATGGGAGATGAAGATGTCCATGAAAACCAACAAGTTCCAGAAACATTACCGACCACAAGTGAATTTCTAGATCTTTCGTCTCAATTTCAGGCTATCGCTTATACATTGCTGTTCTGTTATTAAGCAAACAATATATCCCAATCAATATGGAAATGTCAGGTAATTGTTGAAAACAATCCATGATTTGGAAATGACCAACAAACTCTTGTGATTTGCAATGTGTGTACAATCCAGTAACAGATATCCAAACACAATGGCTGCTTATCACAATGAATAGAGGTAGCCTTTTAATTTTTCTGCAAAATCAATGGCATTATGCATGCAAAACAAAGCCTATGTTTTAAATAATAATTTATAAATTTTGGCTGTGATTTTTCCGAAGTTCAATTGGGTGCTTTAAATATTATAGTTTGTAAAACAATATTTAAAATTCACTCTAATAATGGATCAGAATGTGTATTGCAAAGACTTAAATAAAATACAAACAAAAAGAAAATGTCTTTTATTCCCTTTTATTATTCTTTTTATATTTCATTTGTTTGGTTTTCACATTCGTGTTTTGACCTCCTTCGCTTAGACTCCACGGTATTTTGACAGGATTTTTATCAATCTTTAAGCTTATCTTGTATAAAGGAAACGATTTTATTTTCCCTTTGAAGAAATGAGAAATTGCTTTGGAGAGTCCTTCGTTCACAACATACTGAGATTCAATGTCAGGTATTTCATCGATGTACTTTCCAACGATTTTTTTTATTTCTTCCTCTTTTAAACTCGACATCGGTTTTAATGCACTTACAACTGATAAATATAATATGAACACCTGCGAAAATAAATATTTATTAATACTTTGCTAAATATATAAATAATATATAGTATATTAAATATAAATATGTTTCGGTAACATTTTCTGTTTCCAAACTTACTGAAAAAATTACCATCTTGAATTAAACTACTATGCATTTGAAGTAAGATAAAGAAATCAAATACATAGGAACATAAAGTTAGATTAAAAATTACTCGTTATGAATGTTACGCTTATTATGTTTTACTGATTGAAATATGAGTTTCTAACGTAGACTTTTTAACTTAAAGAAGAGGGGCAGATGAGTAGATAGCTCACCTCCCGTTAAACGGTTATAGAAATTAATAATCACATTTATAAAGTCTGCAATTTGCGTTTTCATGTTTTTTTTATCACTAATTCAAAAGAGCGGCCGATCTAGATGAGCCCTGGTGCTACTACAGTAGACTTCACAACGTGATTGCTAGCACCCATATTGATAATTGCAAGAAGATACAAGTCGCCGCAGCCGAAATCAGCACGCGATATATCCTCGTTATTATATTAGGGGTTAAAGTATGAAATTGCGGATTTGTACTGAAAAATTGAAATTCGTTTATTTATTTATTTTACATATTTATTTAATTAACATATCTAGCATTATTATCTATACATTGCTGCCATCTAATAGGAACGTTGGATTCTCCCGATCCACTAACGGTGGTTGTAGGTACTTCAAGCACCGGTCACCGTTCTCGTCGAACCCGTCGCTTGCGACGAAGGGCTCGACGAGTAAATTAACTCTCAGACACAGCCCACTGAGTTTCTCGCCGGATCTTCTCAGTGGGTCGCGTTTCCGATCCGGTGGTAGATTCTGCGAAGCACGACTCTTGCTAGGGTTCGTGTTAGCACCGTCGTCAGGTTCGAGCCCCGTGAGCTCACCTACTAGTTAAGGTTCTGCTGGAATAGCCTCTCTAGGCTACCAGCTTAGGTAGGAATAAAAAATAGGAACGTCATTTATGCCTTTGCGATAGAGCTCTGGTGATCTAGATTCTACAAACTGTGTGAAAGCATTTTGTACTGCCTCTTGGGAAGAAAACTTTATCACGTAGAAAATTGTCCAAATCACGAAAAAAATGATAGTTCGTTGGAGCAAGGTTTGGCGAATACGGAGGGTGACGAATGGTTTCTAATTGCAGTTCCTGTAGAGTTAAAACGGTTCCTCGTGCTGTAGGAGGTCTTGCCTTATCATGGAGAAATAATGGTGAAGATCGATTCCTGAGTTAGGGCTGTTTCAGTGCAAGTTTTGCTATCATTTTTCGAAGTTTTGCACAGTAGACATCTGCCGTTATTGTTTGACCAGATCGGAAAGCTATAGTGAATAACACCATGCTGAGATTAGGACACTGTTGTGGAGTTTGACCTGGGGTCAGCCATTGCATTTTTCGCTTACGGTTATTGTAAAGAATCCACTTCTCATCACATGTCACAATACGATTAAATATTCCTTCATTTATGTATCTATTCAACAAGCCAACACAAGTTTCAACACGCGTTTCTTTCTGCAGATCAGTCAAATCATGAGGCACCCATTTTTCATATTTATTTTACGCAATTGAGTCAATATTGTTGGTTAAACCATGCCGCTAATTCCTGGGTAGTTTGGCTCGGATCGGCTTCCACCATCTCTTTCAATTAATTGTTATTCACATGTGTGGGCGGTCAACCACGTTCTTCAAATCAAAATTTCCATCACGAAAGCGTTTGAACCAAAATCGCAACGGTGCGTTCATTATCATTTCTCCGCAACATTTGCAAACGCAATATTGATATTATGAGCTGTTTCTGCAGCGTTAGTTCCGACTTCCGCGTCGAAAATCGCATTAAAAAATCACTCGAATTTCCGAAGAATCCATCTTTCTTGTCTAAGCCGAATAAAAAAAAACAACTGAAAGTCGGTAATATGTTGCACATTTTTTAAAAGATCCTCTTAGGTACCATTTGAAAAAAGTTTCACTCATAAATCTCAAACCATGAAGATTCTATGTCAGTTCGAAGTACCTATTACAATAAAACGGCAATTTCATACTTTAACCCCTGTTATTATTGTGGGTGACTTGTCACATTATAGTGTACCTAAAGTCTATAGCGACGTCATGCGTAATGAAAGCCTTTTTTTTGGAAAATAAGGACTATCCGGTTCCCTATTATCATTTTTCCTTTTAGTACCTTTAACTTTACTACAATAAATAGAAATAAAAAATGAATTACAAGAATTAAAAATTAAAATGAATTTTTATCATTGTGATTCGGAATTAATACGACTCCTTAATTTCAAGTTGAAGGATTCGAACGCCTGTTATAAATTCATGACTTGTATGATGTTTTTATAAACAGTCGATTTTGATTTAATATTATTAAAATATCTAAAAAAAAACACGCTGTAGGTATCTACTGCACATTATTATTATGTAAGTGCGGTAAACTATCTTGTACGTACTATTATAGTTTTTTTTTTATATTTTCATTGACTTTGAAGAAGTCTTATCACAATAGTGCGCGAAGTACCGTTGATGTTCTAGTTAACACCAGGATTCCCGGTTTCGAATGTGTGTTCTGATTTGATGGCATAGACGTCAGTGATTATTTCACAACACGTACCATCCGGCTATGGAATGAGCTCCCCTCCACGGTGTTTCCCGAGCGCTATGACATGTCCTTCTTCAAACGCGGCTTGTGGAGAGTATTAAACTGTAGGCAGCGGCTTGGCTCTGCCCCTTCCATTGCTGACGTCCATGAGCGACGGTAATCACTCACCATCAGGTGGGCCGTATGCTCGTCTGCCTATAGGGCAATAAAAAAAAAGTTGTGTCTTAAGTGTCTTTACAAAAAACTATTGTCAATAAAACTAACTTAATACGATTTATTTCTTACCTAAGCTTATTTTAAGCAAAGTCTTAGTTATTACTAATTGTTTGTATGGGCAAATCTGTTATGCCTTTAGGAGGAGAGCCTTTCCTAGAAAACCCTAAAGCTGCTTTCAACACGCATAAACCAGCTTCTATCGTCCTTTTCCTGTCATTCTCGTTGCCGATTGCCGGGTTAATCTCTACCAAGTCAATGGCTCTCAGACGTCCAGTTGCGTGAATTATCTCCATCAGCTTAATTGCTTCTCGTAAAGTTAGGCCACCTCTTACTGTAATTAACAAAGAAAAACATAGTAAAAGTAAGTACCACAAGAGTTTTGGACACAAAGAAATAAGGCGTTACATGTCGGCAAAATCACTACATAGTATAAAACAAAGTCGCTTTCTCTGTCCCTATATCTGTCTGTCCCTGTGTGCTTAAATCTTTAAAACTACGCAACGGATTTTGATGCGGGTTTTTTTAATAGATAGAGTGATTGAAGAGGAAGGTTTATATGTATAATAGCATCCATTAAATAGTGGAGAAATCAATAATAAATAACAGTTTTCGAAGCGAAGCGAGGGCGGGTCGCTTGTGTAATATAAAAAGATATGAAAATATCTTACACCTAATCTATTTTTAAAACTCGATTAGCTTAGTAAGTATCCTGGTTTTTTTTAGTATCTACGCTTGTACATATCTTTATTCAAATGCTCATTTACCAGATTAAAAGGCATTGCATTAATAGGATTAATGGGATTTTTCGTGCATTTTCATAATTAAATTTTTAAAATAAAAATACTTAAAAACCTGGTGTTCCCGTGCTTGGAGCTTCCAAAGCATCTAGTGAATCAATGTCAAAGCTCACATGGATAGGTTTTCTATTTTCTGGGTCTAAAACTTTAAGTAAGTGCGTTATTGATTTTTCTACTCCGTGTCTGAAAGTTCGATTTTGAATTTTCACTCATATAATCAATTTTCTCATAATTTTCAATATAAAATTGTACTTACAAATCAACATCTTCCATTGTGAAAGTTGGAACATTATATTTTTCTATGGCCAGTCTTTCATATTTGTCCACCGATCGTAGACCAATATAGCCCAAATTTTTTATTGAAAATCTTGAAGAAAAGTGTTTTTTTTTTAATTTAGGAACAATCTATTTAATTGTACTATAGCAAAAAAAATACCGTGTTTTATTATTTTAGTTATAGTCAAAGTTGACATTAAAAAAAAACTAAAGTTTTTATACCTAGGAACTTGCCAGTCCATAGTAGGCAAATAAGGCCAATAGTCAGAAAGCTCTCTGACCAACAGAGCCACTGGCATACCGTGAACAGAACCAGATTCCGAAGTCTTGTTCGTATTAATGTCCGCATGAGCATCAACCCAAATTAGAATCATGTCTTCATTCACGTTATAGTGTCCATCAACGGTACCTTAAACATTAAAATTTTAATAGCGAGATAATATTAATACAAGATCGTGTATTATTGCATTTAGAAAACTATAAATTAACTGACCTACACCAATAGAATGATCTCCGCCTACAGTTACTGCAATTCTTCCATCTTTGAGAACATGTGACACACGTTCTGATAAATTCTTGTTGCAAGCCGACACTAGTGGTAAATGATTCATGTTGTTGACATTTACATTATTTTCGCATGAACTTGTTTCAATGTCCCCGAAGTCTTTTACATCTAAACCATCTATAAGCAAGTAATAATAGTTTATGAATTCAATAATTTTTGAAGTAATCTTCAGTCATCTTATCGAAAATAAACGATTAGATAAAAAATACTCGGCCTACCGATTTCTTTTAGTTCATCTATGAGACCCGCTGCTCGTACGGCTGCCGGTGCGATGCTAACTCCGTATTTCTTTTGTCCCTTTTCAAACGGCACACCGATAACGCCAACTCGATTCAAAGGCTTCAAATTTGTATTTTGACTCATCTTACGAACAAAAATTTTGACAAAATTCATGGTTAATTTTATGCTTCAATACAATTAATTATATGTAAATATGACCGACTGATCTCTTGGAAACTTATTAGAGACTAAAATTTCTGGTGGCATTATCTCCCTGCGCAGGTCAAAGGTTTAGACGACATCATTTTTGATAACACAAACATCAGAAATATAGATTATTTTTGTTTGATAACGATGAGAAATTAAGTGGGTAGTTAAATTTAAAAAAAAACAAACCTTGATTATATTTTAAACAAGTTTAAAGATGTTATAAAGTTGACGTAAACAAACTGTTTTGTAAATCCGTACTTAAAAAGTATTTTGTTTATAGTTTTAACTCGAAGTTATTTATTTCAGAAGACCAATCTAAGCTTTCGTAACTACACATCACAACACTAATTCTGCCATAAGAATGATACTTCTCGAGACCTGGCCAAATATAAGCACGTCCAACAATTTTTTAATTAATGTTCGCTAATTTCAAACTAATTTGCACTTCACATGCTTAATGACCAAATGTGAAAATGAAAAATTTTTCATTTAACTTTATCGTTTATTTGTAACGTAAATTTTAGAAGTACTTATTGAAGTGTTATATTTAATAGGATTATTCCATCGAAATGCTTTGAAAATGTTATTTGATTTGGTGAGAAGGTATTTCTCGTTTATATTGTAACTAATAATGGAAGCAATAGAAGCCAGTGTGATAAAACTGAAAGTATCTTTCCAATAGCTCTGTTACTTTGAAGACGATATGTGGCATTTGCGTATCTTATAGTTCTTTCGATCCACGGCACGTATGGTCCAATGACTGTAAAGATATTATACTTTGTATTCCTACTTTTAAGAGATAGCTTTCGACAAGGTGAAGCTGTTATTGCTATAATTTCCATTCCGAATAATACTGGAGCTCCATCGCCGAATTCTCGTCCATAATGTTTTCTAGACGTTTTTTCGATTCCACAAATACAGTAATACCATTTAGGATTCTCACATGGCGATTGTTGATAGTTTTGTTTTTGAAGAACAATAACATTTGAATTAATATACCCAAATCCTAAAGTAACGAGATCTTTCTCTTTCAATTCGGATGCAAAGCTATTGCCAATTTCAACTGGAGGTATAAAAACATCTAGAACTGTTCGAAGAGTGAAAACTAGTCCAATATTACTGTGCATTTTTGTGATATTTAGTTCTGTGGCTTTCGATTCGAAGATGTAGTCGTTGTGTAACGCGATACGGGTAACTTTAAAAATGTTCTTCTCATTCATTGATTGACTTAAAACAGCCAGTCCAACAGCGACGAAAGCAGGTGCGATTTGTACACAATTTCCGGATGTTAGAACAGTTTGGCTATTTATAATAGATCCAGTACAAGAGTACTCTTTTGTATCCGTTAATAAAGCAACGACGTACGGATGTTTTTCAGCTATATTCTCAACGGTTTTTAAGAGTTTCGAGATTGCATTTACGTTAGTTATTATAAAAAACATATTCAACATATAAAAACGTTGATCAATAACCATAGGAATTAACAGGGAGAATTGTACAGTGTGGACCGTTAGTAAGGGTAGATGATTTAACTGTATCGTATTGAAATATTATTTGTAACAAATATTGCACTAAGTTTTACTTAACATTTGCACTAAATGAACCAATAAGAAATATACTCAGAAATATGTCATGATTTTGAATGTCATTTCTGTTATTCATCTCAGTTTGTCTCATGACAAATACATTCAAATAGAAAAGAGGTTAGAAAAAGGTTTTTAAATATTGATAAAGCGTCTATCTGAAGCAAGCAGAAGTGTGCTTGTTTTTCCAGGTCACCACGTAGCGGAGGCGGTGTGCTTTATCTAGTCGATCTCGAATTTGGATCATCTTACCCTCCATTTTGTTTTACCAAGGAAACGTAATATGTGTATCTGAATCTAATTTTGATTTTAGGAGAGAAGAATTTATTCAAACGTATCATTCAGCGCAAGTTTAATTTTTACAATTTTCCTTTACAAACTAGTTATCATTCAACTGTAGATCTTATGTGACGATATGTAAATTATTTCAAAATGTTGAATTTAGGTAAAACAAGTTTTCGGAAAATTTACATATTGAAAAAACTTCAACAATGAATGTAAATTTTCACTATACCCTAAAAAATTAATGTTAAAAATTAAGCCGTTATTTATTAATTTTCTTTCCATTCCATACACTAGAATTACGGCTACATAGGCGGCACTGAAAATTTCGGGAATTAACGAAGTGACACAACATTACTATTTAAAAATGTATTTATTGCTTTTCGAAGTATTCTCCGCGAAATTTGACACATGTTTCCATACGATGGAACCAATCATTGAAGCAACCATTCCATTCTGAAGTTGGGGTCTCCAAAATGGCCGTTTTGTAGGCGTCCACAGCTTCTTCAGGTGATGAAAGTCTCTGTCCACGCAATTTATTCTTTATTTTAGGGAAAGTATAGAAATCATTAGGGCTTAGGTCGGGGCTGTACGGCGGATGGTCTAATAATTCTATGTTTTCTTGCTCTAAAAACTCTTTTGTTCTGTGCGCGGTGTGAGAACTCGCATTGTCGTGATGGAGGATGATGCGGTGGTTGCAGTTCTCTTTACGGAGTTCAGAAACGACCTGTGGCAAACAAATGCTAGCATACCATTCTGCATTAACCGTTCTTTGTCCCTCAAGAGGAATAGTCGTAACATGGCCGGTTTTGGAGACAAACGTGGCCACCATTTTTTTTGCAACACTCCGTGAACGAACAATTTTTGTTGGCTTTAACTCATTTTCGAACACCCAAACTCGTGACTGGTTTTTTGTTTCGGGTTCGTACGCGTATATCCAGGATTCGTCACCTGATACAATGTTGTATACAGCATTTGAGGATCCTGCGTGGAATCTTTCGAGAGTTCTGACGCACCAAGTAACGCGAGCCGCTTTTTGCTCTTCACAGAGCGAATGCGGTATCCATCGGGAAAACAACTTTTTTACACCTAATTGTTCATGCAAGATTATTTGTATTTGACTCATGCCAATGTCTAAAGTTGCCTGAATTTCGCGGTATGTCACATGTCGATCTTCCTCAATCAGCTTACGCACAGCATCAACGTTTTCTTGGGTGACTGCAGTTTTTGGACGACCTTGACGGGGATCATCACTGAGCTTGACACGTCCACGTTGAAACTCAGCAAACCAGCGATAAATTGTGGTTTTGGATGGGGCTTCATCACCAAATGCAGAAATCATCCGGTCAACACACTGTTTTTGTGTTAAACCACTTCGAAAGTCATAATAAATCATCGCTCTTGAATTTTCTCGAGTCAATTCCATTTTCTCAACGACTAAACAAGTTTGACAAAACCTCGTGACAAGACCGAGAATCTTTTTTTAAATAAATAAATGGTATTCGATTTTTAAAACCAAGGAGTTTTCAATTAAAAAGATTTTAATATGACAGGAACAGTGGAAATATTCCATTCCCGATACTTTTAGTGCAGCCCTCGTATTAACTTTGCAAGCCGTGACGTATAATGTCTTTACAACAAAAGTAGGCGGGTGGTGATGCTTGCAATAGGCTGCAACATCTGTAATTATAGAGAAAGAAAAAAGAATGAAATTCGCGGAAGTACTCACTTTTTAAAATCAGATTTCCTTTTGCCTTGTGTTCAATCTATCGGAAATTCCAGTGATAGTGATATCGTGGAAGCTAAATGTCCTACCGGCTTTGATGTTACGCGTTACGGAAAAAAAATGCCTTTAATAGAAACAGTATATTCACTTCGCAAAATCAATGAGGATGAGAAAAATGAGGTGGTTATAAATAAATAGATGGGCTAAATAGAAAATCAACGCATCTTCTATTTCGTTTTGCATAGTTATTTAAACGCTAATCAACAAAAGATTTCCAATATGTGAAATTTCAAATGCCAATCTTGAATTATATGTATAAGTATGTTAGCTGTTTTACTGACACAAAATTCAGGAAATATGTCTATGTTTGTATGTTTGGTTTTATTTTAAATATAAAGTATTACAGGAAGATCGGACGGCCGATGGGGCAGAATGATCTTCGAACGGAGATCACGAACTATCAAGCGCAGTGAGGGACGGCTGCCTATCAGATTGAGCGACGACCTAGTGAAAATCGCTGGGTTACGTTGGATGCAGGGGGCAACGGGCCGGCCACACTGGACATCAATTGGAGAGGCCAAGTTCAGCAGTGGACAGTGGACAGGCTGAGATGATGATGATGAGATATAGTAAATTATTGAATTAAGTGGGGGTAGGACCTCTTGTGAGTCCGCGCGGGTAGGTACCACCGCCCTGCCTATTTCTGCAGTGAAGCAGTAATGCGTTTCGGTTTGAAGGGTGGGGCAGCCGTTGTAACTATAGGTACTTGAGACCTTAGAACTTATATCTCAAGGTGGGTGGCGCATTTACGTCGTAGATCTCTATGGGCTCCAGTAACCACTTAACACCAGGTGGGCTGTGAGCTCGTCCACCCAACTAAGTAATAAAAAAAAGTTAATCAACTTAGTTATACTGTTTAATTGCTGAAAGTATGCTGTAGCGTGTGTTTATGAAGCCTATACATAAGTTTATTCTAGCCTAAGCGAACTATATTCGATCAATTAGTAAGCTTGAAATAACGAATTTAAATTTGGAATTAGTAAAAAAATTCAATACTATTTCATCAGTCATGTTTACGTCAATGTTCTCGTTGGAAAATAAAAATAGCTAATGACTTCGTTTTCAGTGGTTCAAATTGAATGGAAACAGTATTGATTAACATTATGATTAACATTCACGTGCCAGTTTTCATTGTAGGTACAAATCATGTGTACTTGAATGTTGACGGAAAATGAACTGTACGTTAATTTTTTTAGAGATGAATTGTTTTATCTTTTGAGGGATTTCAGCCTCTAAAATTTTTGTTATATTGTAATATTGTATTCTCCATATCTTCATTCTTCATTCTTCATATCGGTACTTTTTGAAATACTGAAGTAAATAAAATACCGATATGAAGCTTGAAACCTGTTTGCTCAATATTAATAATCTGTATGTTATTTTATGTTATCTAAAACGAAGTCTTCCTTTAAGAAGGCTACTTTTAGATCTAAAACGAAGTCTTCCTTTAAGAAGGCTACTTTTAGATTGATTACCTTTGTGGCGATTGAATAGGTTATCATTGAAATGCAACGAGCTATCAGTGTATCAGTATACCTCATCGAATGAAAAATATATATATTTAAAGTGTGTTCAATACGCTATGAATCTGTATGCTGGAGTCATGGTTCAGACGGCTGGCTGATCCTTCGGCCGGTCGTAGGACCGTCGAGGCGATTCGCCCGGTCCTTGTGGATTGGGTGAATCGTGACAGAGGACGCCTCACTTTCCGGCTCACGCAGGTGCTCACTGGGCATGGTTGCTTTGGTGAGTTCCTGTACCGGATCGGAGCCGAGCCGACGGCAGAGTACCACCATTGTGGTTGCGACTTGGACACGGCGGAGCACACGCTCGTTGCCTGCCCCGCATGGGAGGGGTGGCGCCGTGTCCTCGTCGCAAAAATAGGAAACGACTTGTCGTTGCCGAGTGTTGTGGCATCGATGCTCGGCGACGACGAGTCGTGGAAGGCGATGCTCGACTTTTGCGAGTGCACCATCTCGCAGAAGGAGGCGGCGGGGCGCGTGAGAGAGGCACAATCCCGCCGCCGTCGAGCGGGGGCCAGGGAGGCGGATCTCGCCCAAGCCCTGGCCCTCTAAGTGTTTCGGGTCCCCCTTACATGTCGGTCTGGGGACCGGCGAGGGGGGCCTAAGAAGACGACGTGCAAGCTGCTCTGCACGCGTTTTACGCAAGAGCATCCGGGTGATGGAAGGCCGGCTATCCTCGACCCACGCTGGTTCTGGTCCAGTGGGGTATTCCGTAGGATAGCTCACTCTAAGCGGCGCCATCTAGGCGGGCTTCGGATAGCCTGCCGACCGAGAGGGCTGGTGGTCGTGGCGCCGACGACCGCTGGTCCGGCGTCCCGAGGGGGAGGGTGATGGGAGAGATGTACTCCGCACTAAACGCTTCACTTTCCCCCTATGCCTCTTCATGAGTTCTGTCTCATGCGAGGTTTGGACGTTGGTTGTTGAGCGACAGGAGGTTTTAGTCAGTTCAACTCTGACATGCCCCGCCCTCCATCCGCAGTGGAGGGCAGAAGTCCGGCGATTTCCTCCTGACAAAAAAAAAACAAAAAAAAAACAATCTGTATAATCTATCTATATAAATAAAAATGAATTGCTGTTCGTTAGTCTCGCCAAAACTCGAGAACGGCTGGACCGATTTGACTAACTTTGGTCTTGAATTATTTGTGGAAGTTCAGAGAAGGTTTAAAAGGTAGATAAATATGAAAATGCTCGAAATTAAATAAAAATAGCAATTTTGTTTTCCCTTTGATGTGTCCCCCGTCGGACGGATTCCTTTTGTTTGTTTTAAGTTTATTTTATAGGTACACAAGTTTAGGTCTTTT